GCGCTGCAGAACCCAGGAATCCAGGGATCCTGGGTTCGGTCCCCACCCCTGCCCGTTTCGATCTGGATGAGCATGGGGTCTTTAAAGGGGTACGGAAACAAAAATTGAAATATTCAAATTTCGTTCGGAAATGAGTCAAGCATGAGAGATAATAACCGTAAATGATAATCGCACGTTTGTCTTTTGAACGACTGGCTATATTTTTCGTTCCATATGGTGCACTCGAGCAAGCGCTCGAAGAGAAGCGAACGGAGAGCGCGATGCGTCATGGGATATCCGGCGCAAACAAAAACAGAAAGAAAAGATTCCCCGCATTCGTAACGTAGCAAGGCTGGCGTGGTTATGAGCTTTGCCGTTGGTGGCGTTGGCAGCGCTTTGGTCAACGCGTTAGAACCGAGCAGCTCGAACTACCCGTGGGGTGACGAGCGTGTGGCTGGCCCAAGAGGGAGCCTTCATGTGCTCGCGCATGAAGGCACCCTAGCCCAAGGAGCACGTAGCTTCCACAACACTGTCAGCCTAGGGCTGAACGGGGTGGGGAAAGCAACTTTTGTTCAAATTTGGAGCGACGAGATAATCTTCTAAGGGGAGAATGGCTGTGTCCGGTTGCACGAACGAGAGTCCGAGAAGGAGGGGAGTCCTTCCTTTCTGTCTTCTTGGACCGTTTGGTACAATGCGCGATTTGTGAGCTGAGAAGGAAAGCTGAGAAGGAAAATGTTGAAATGCCCAAGAGGGGCGCTGCTCCGAAGGAATCTGTTACTTACTACAGTGTACTAAAATACTTAGGTAGTGTTAGGACCGGAGCGGCTCGGCGATAGTTCGTGGCGGCGCTGTAGTGGAGTTATCCAAAAAAAAATCGCGCAGCCCGCCTCTTTTTTTTTTTTTTTTTTTTTTCACTTTGAGCAGTGCACGTGTTGGTACCACGATTTTATACACTCCGTTTCACCTTATGTTGTACCGCAGCGAAGGCTAGAAGCACGAGTTCATAGCGTTGGCAGCTGCCCTTGATGCACGAGAGCTTGTGCCGCCGAAATGTGCCCTAGAGCAAGGAGCTCGCGCTTGTAGGCTTTCCTGCGGTACGACACAAGGTGAAACAGTATAGTTCCGCGTGTTTTTCACTTCGAGCGGTGCGCGTGTCGGGACCACGATTTCCTAGTTCCGTGTGTTCGATCGTAATATGCTTTGAATCTTGTGTTCTGATTTTGCGGATGGTGAATGCGTGAGGGTAGTGCCGAAATGCCGTCGGCGAAACAGCGACAGAACTCTTGCTCTGCACCATGGTTTTAAAACGGGCCTCATCCGAGTGAAAGGAGTGAAAACGGCGTCCCTTTTCGGCGTTCCAAAGGACAGAGCCAAAAGAGATCTTTGTGAGGAGAATCTCCAGCGATCGGACAAGCGTCTTGAAAAAACAAGCGCTGTCTGCATGCGAGCTGCACTTCGAGCCCGCTTCATCCTTCCAGACTTCGTCCATATCATCGGCGGAAAGGAAGTGGGGATCCCTCGTGGACACCCAGCGCTTACGCCAGACGCGGTACCCACACTGCTGCCAAGTGTACCCCAGGACCTGAGTGATGACCTCTGCGGAGGACGAGAGGAAAGGAAGCGGAAGGCAAGTTCACCAGAGCCCATCGTTGCAAAGCGTTCGGGGCTCGTTTGGGAAACTGACCCGTTGTCACCAGTGGTAAACAGCGAAGCTCCTGCCGTGATCCCACAAGCCATCGATCGCGACGCACTACGCTCTCTAAATGTGCCAATTCCTTACTGGGCTGTTCACATTAAGTTTAGCAACTTCGACGGTGTGGCTTATTTGGAGACTGCTCTTGAGCCGAAGTCAAACAAGAGCAGCATCGAAAGGGCGGTGTTCATTTGTTTCGACAACTTACCTGATGTGGTATGCCAAGTATACCTTCAGGGCCATGTATGCGCTGCGCATTGTAACCATGTATGCAACCCACATTGTAATCATGTATTTCAATGCCGTGCTGTAAGCTATTACAACTTTTTCCTTGCCTGATCCACGTGTGTTCATGTTTTCTGCTCAAAATGATGTGAAATAGTTGCTTGTTTTCTTTGATTCTTATAAAGCATTACTTGTTCAGCCCACGTTGTCTCAGTTTTTGGACTTAAGTTCAATGTTAAAACGCGTGATAAAAATTGTCACGACTTATAAGCCATTTCTTACAGGTGAACGTCGGGTGCTCCTCGGATGGTCGTGGCAGCCATGAAGAAATAAAATATTCTCACCCTTTGCGAGCGTCGCTTGGGCTGTTCGTCCCATAAATGAACTCAAGAATGAGTGACAAGTGACGAGATGATTAAGGTCAAGAAAAGGAGACGGGCTGGAAAGAAGACGGAGAAGTTAACCTGGGGTATTAAAAACATACTAAAACAATCTCGGACTTTAGTATGTGCCGTTCGTTCCATTATAAAATAAGATAGGGGAAAAAAAACTGCTTTTGAGTTTTAGATATCCCTTTCAAATATCAAATGTTCGGCCTTTGCGACTCAAGGAAATAGGCATTTCATTTAAAATGCTCACCATTCGACAATCAGAAAGTCGCAGCTAATTCTAAAGCGCGAAACACATGTACGACGAAACCTCCCGATCCGACGTGCGGACTGCCGGATGACCTTGGGGGGAGAGGGTTTTCATAGCATCGGAGAGCGTTGAAAACCCTCGCCTCCGACCGTCGTATTGCGCGGTCGGACGTCGGATCGGACGGTTTCGTCGTACATGTAACTTGCAGTCCGCTTCTTTAAAGTCGCAATTGTTTTTATGTAAAGGAAGGGTAATGTAGCTTGTACCGTCCAATACATTGAAGCATAATTTTGCTAACGATCGTGATGCAGCGTAATTGATGCCGCGGTACGACCGCTGGCAGGATGTAGCTGTATCAGAAATCCTATGTGCACTTTACCAAAGCGGCACCCGATTCATATTTTCGCGCGTGCAGCCGCGCATGCGCACACCTTCTGGATAACGCGCCGGTGTCGACACCTGTCGCGATCAATACCACGCGCTTCAGGCAAGCCCCTCCGGTCCCAACACTACCCAAGTTGATACTAGTACAGTGGCCACTGTAATACTATAAAAAAAAAAAAAAAAAGATATATATATATTAGGGGTGTCGCGAACCGGCCGAGGTTCGAGTTCGACCAGGTTCGACTTTTTCGAACCTTTAGAGGAAAATTCGACGAACCTTGTATTGAGGTTCGACTCCTGTGCGCATGCGCGACAGGCTGGCCAGTTGGCTTTGGATTGGATGGTGATGGCTAAGGGGAGAATTAAGGGCAGCGCTGATTGGTTATTTCAGTTAATGCAGTACAAGAAGATTAAGTTATTAACTTCTTCAGTGATTAGAATTGGTTTCTTTTATTTTCAACTGTTCATAAAATAAAATAACTCTTTGCATAAAAAAAAATTCTCCAAACCTAGACATGCTTGTATCAAGGTCTGGTCACAGTGTCCACAAAGTCGAACCGGTCGAATGTGGGGAAAAGTTCGAAGGTTCGTCGAATCGGTTCGACCCAGTCGAACCCCGAAAGTTCGACCTAAAAGTCTGGTCGACAAAAGTTCGCGACACCCCTAATATATAGACCTTTTCCACAAGGGCGCCGCTATCTTGAATTGTCGTCACTTCCAGTATGGGCGACGAAAAAAAAGTAAAACGTTTCAACCTGTAACTAGTAAAAAAATAGAGGCGAGCCAAAACGAGAATGTGTGACGGTTAGGCTTATATACTAAATGTCTTCTATTGGCGTGGCAACGGCAAAGTTACGTTTTCGCCCATACTGGAAGTGACGTCAATTAAAGATGGCGGCGCCCTTGTGGAAAAGGTCTATATTATAGTACACTGTACTGCTACGTCACGACTACGTAGCAAGTTCCCCAACGTTGCTAGATTACCTCCCAAATAGGCTCCGCATGCATCCACCAGGCGCACTTTGAAAGATCGTTTATTTAGCTTCAAAATTAGTTTTCTTGTGCCTTTCAACGGAAGACAGTGGTGTTTTTGAGGTTAGGGTGCAACATGCAACACATTCAAGCTAGAAAATGAGCGCTGGAATTTCGTTTCCCTAAAATTCGGCGCTTATTTTATGGCCTATATGTGTTCAAAGGAGCAGTATCACATCAAACATCTTGTTACAAAAGGTCACGAAAAGGAATTTTAAAACGAATTAAACAATTAGCTTAGAGACCTGGTGGATGTCGCTAACGCCTCGCTTGTAATGCCCATCTTGGAACCTTGACAGCTAGTGACGGTGAGTGTCTCGCCTCCGGCCACGACGAGAGAAGAGGGGAAGGAAAAACTCCCGTCTTCTCGAGAATCCCTTTTGAGTGTTCCAAAAGTAGCTATTGCCGCCCCACAAGATTATAGAAGATTAACCCGTCACTCAAAATTCGTACAAAAGCAGCCGCTTCGGTGGCTGGAACGACTAGGCCATCCCCTCGACGGTAGCTTCGCCGTAGCTTTGCTCGTCCCGAGACGACCTACGTCACGATTGCGTCGGATGTCACGTGCTCTAAGCTGGGCCTTCTCCGGGCAATCGCTAGAGTGGGCCGCTTATAACAAAAAATACTGCCACCAGGCTTAAAATACAAACGTGCGATTGTCATTTACGGATATTGTGGATTATATTCAACCTATTTTTGAACACAACCGATATATTTCAAATTTCGTTGAAGTATCGCTTGGACGCAAGCTATTTGACGGGCTTATTGAAAAGCATCCAAAAAGTTTCAGTACCGACAACAGCTTAGAAACGTCCTTGCAATATTCGTCGCCCTACTCCGTTTGTTGTTCGTTTTGTAGTAAAATAAAAAGAAAAGAAAAGAGAAGGATGTCAAACCAGATTTTCGCCACCTTTATTTCCGTCCTACAAGGTTAAAAATATGCAAAAGTCTGCATGTTATCACTAAAAATCGCTACTGATGACAGCGCTTAAGACTAGCAAGCGGCGAAAAATCAAATGACCGTTTCTGAGGTGGAGCTGGAGTACATGAGATTGTCTCACCGGATATTTCAAAATTAACATCTCTTTGCTGCTTCCGCACTTCGAAGCATGGCGACCGCGGCTGGTTCAAAAATATTTCAGAATATCCCTGTACCTATCTTATTCATACTTATTTCCTGCTTGGTTTCATTCGGAAAAGCAAGTAAGCCTGCTGAGATGAGTTCGCGTGCTGCGTTTATTCACTCGAACCAGACATTTGGCGTAGGATGCAGTCGGCAGTCGCATTCGACCCGCTTTATAATTCCTGCATTTTCAGATTTCAGACAATTTGCGGACGAGCCTCTGCAACTAGTTAAACCAGACCTAAACCACAAAAGGCTTGTGTTGGTGAAGGAAAATATAAAGGTAAGGAACTTAACTTACATTTCGAGGCTTCGGCTTCATTCATTCCGTGTTCGACCGCCGATGATGACAAATCTCTGCGCAAATTTGAAGAGTCTCTGCCGAGAGTGTCTTCCACGAAGGAAGATCACCGCATTGAGGCTCTTTGTGAAGAGTTGAAAACGTCTGAGTGTGGCAAGCTATCAAAGAAAAAGAAGAAGAAAGTCACGATGTGGCGCGTTTTATTGCTCTATGGCGGGTCTTCCACAATCTGATTCATGCTTCGTGTGGGGTCTTCCTCGCAGGTCGTGTCTAAAATTGAGGGGCCCGTGGCGACCATAGCCGTCGTCGGGAAGTTCCACTCCGGCAAGTCTTTCCTCATGAACCAACTGATGGGGAAGACCAAGGGATTCGGAATAGGCCCCACGGTCCGACCTGAAACGATGGGCATCTGGATGTGGGGACAGGTAGTCATGATGAGTAAAGCTATACGCACTCCGGAGTGCACTTCGGACGGAAATGGCTATACGCACTCCGCGGAGAGCTCATACCGCTTGGGCCACCCTTTCCGAACGACGCGTGTATCACTGGGGAGCTCGTTAACACAGCCCCTCGCCTGCGTTCACGCCGCTTCGCGGCTGCAGTATGCGGCTGCTAATTACAAAACTTAACCAGTACACGCCGCTTCGCGGCGTCCAGCCGGAAACCCAAGCCCCGCTGTTCCCGATCGCACCTACGAAAAGGGAGTCCCATACCATTTAGTTCTGTGAAGTTTCGTCGACAATAATGAAACATGAGGAATTACTGTTACGAACACGCTCGTTTCGTACTTAATCCGTCGACAACATTTGGTTTTTTTTAGTGTTCATCGCAAAAAAGAAATGTCGTAAATATTGCCAAATGCCTCGACAAAACAAAATGTTCGAGAAAAAAAAAAAAAACAGGCCCACCGGTGGATCGAACCTGCATCCACTTGCGTATAAAGCGGAAACTTTAACCCCTATGCTATGCCATCTCTTTTTTTTTTTTTTTTTTGGCAAACGAAACAAGTTTAGTTACATGTTATTTGCAGACATCCTTGCAGTAGGTTCCGCAAACATTATACAAGACCAAATTGAAAAATTCCGGAGACGAAAGCTACTTCCTCCGACCATGCGGCAAAGCTTCACGGTACTTTTCCCGAAGAAATCTAAACAGGGCCCTATTTCCGAGGTCGGGGACTTTCGGCCCATCAGTCTTCTTTGCTCTGATTATAAAATCCTGGCCAAGATCCTCGCAAGGCGACTTGACACAGGGCTCAAATCCATCATAGAGCCCCATGAGACTTACAGCCTTCGCGGGAGGGAAATATCCAGGAACCTCCACATCATGCGGGCGATCGGCGAGGCGACGGCGGAGGGTCACCAGTCCCTGGCGGTCCTGCAGCTGGACCTGCAGCAGGCCTTCGACCGGGTGTCCCACAGGTTCCTCCTGGCGGCGCTGGATCGATTCGGCGTGGGGGAGGAGCTGCGGGGGTGGATCGCGCTCTGCTACCGAGACATCTCCACGCGCCTTCTCATCAACAGTCAGAGGGGAGGTCCCATCTCCATCGGGAGGTCGGTTCAGCAGTGCTGCCCCCTCTCGCCCATCCTCTTTGCGCTGCAGTTGGAGCCACTCTGCCGGGCAGTCAATGCGGACCCATCCATCTCAGGTTTACGGCTTGGGGACAAAGACGTCCGCGTGCTGGCCTTCGCAGACGACGACTCGTCTATCTGCTCGTCCAAGGTGCAGGTGCAGACCATCCTGCAACACGTGGACCGGTTCTGCGCTGCCTCAGGGGCCATGATCAGCAAGTCGGCGGGGGCGTGGCTCGGTGCATGGGAGACTATGCCAAGAACTTTCGGAGGTATAGGATGGAGCACTTCGCTCGACGGCTACCTGGGTGCGCCTCTGGACCCGCAGCGATCAACGGCCGCAGTGTGGAGACCGACCGCCAACTCCGTTGCCGCCAAGCTGTCGCCCTGGCGGTGCAGAAACTTGTCTTTCTTCAGCCGAGCTCACATGTGCAACACAGTCAGCTACCCCGCCGTGCTGTACAAGGCTCAGGCCATCTGCTGCCCGGGCAGCCAGGACGGAAAGGTACACCGGAGCTGGGCCATGTTCGTGTGGAAGACTGCCATGGAAAGCACATGAAGTAGCAACCTCTTTCTGCACCAAGAGAGCGGCGGTCTGGGCCTCGTTAACATTGTGCTCAAGTTGCACGTGCAGTGTTTTCTGCTCTTCCGGGATGCGAGGGACCCGACCTTCGTCGCCGTGCTGCACCACCTTGGATTCTCACATCTCGGGAATTAGAGGGTGAGCACGAGTGGCCGTACGACCAAGAAAGCCGCCCTGCGGTTCTACAAGGAAATTGCCAGCTCCATTGAGTTTCTGCAGGCCCAATTTTCCTGGGAGTACCTGGTGACCGTCAGAAAGAGGCGGCTGTACTGGGATGCCGTTTCCGCATCCTTCTTGCCACCGCTCTACAGACAACCATTGACGTCCGACGACGCGGCGCAACTTTACAAACTCGTGCGAATCCTCCCGTCCCTGTGGCGACAAGGGACTTCTTCGTCCGGATGCGCATGGAGGTCCTTCCAGTTAAAACCTGGCTCAATCACAAGGGGTTCTTCATGCCATAGTCCCTAAACTGCAACCTTTGCGGGGCGCCCGAGACCATCCAGCGCGTCCTAGTCGAGTGTAGTAACGCCTACCTCTCCTGGGACGAGATGAGGACGACGTTTAAGCTCCGGGACTCCTTCGAAGTAGAGTGGAGCGCTTTCAAGTATCTGCAACTCGAGGAGAGGAATAAGACGGAGGTGGTGCACATGATGATGTTGCTAGGCCTGCACGCCATCTGGCAGTCGCGTACCTCAATGGTGCAATGCCACCTCGACGCGCTTCCAACCTGGAGCTACTTCGTGTCCACGTTGGGGTGGGTGCTCTCGGTGACGTCGTGGCAGGTGAATGCGGGTGATTGGGAGTGCATCAAGCGAGAACTCGAGGAAGGGCGTTGCCGATGCGTGAAACGACGTACGTCAAGCGTGGGAAACTGGCGAGTTCCTGTGAACTGTAGGCGCGTTGGCGTTGGCTGAGGTGCATGGTGCGCAAAAGTGGACCGTGGCTATTCCCCCTTATAATTGCACGTCTATATTGTTCGATTTATTTATATATTTTTTTCGTACAGATTGTATAACTGTTGACGCGGTCTCATACTGTATCGTTTGTTTCCTCTGAATAGTTTCCTATGCTATGCTATCGCTCAGAAAACTCGTTGTGACCATTTGTTTTATACGAGTTTAGCGGAGTGCATATAGCCATTTCCGTCCGAAGTGCACTCTGGAGTGCATATAGCTTTACTCAATAGAGTGTGATAATATTTATGTGCTTACTACAATGTGATTCTGGGTGGCGTGCAAGGCTGTGCAGAGAGGTTAGAACCCGTACGCGAGCACGTCTGCCAGCCCGCCACTGAAGAGGTAGGGTCCACGAACGTTTGTCTTTCGTGGTTCGCTTGCTTCCTGGTGTTTTTTTTTACATACCTTTTTTACGCTGCCTTGCTCTTTGTGTTTTTGTAAACAATAAACAATTTTCTCAGCGATATACTCGACATATCTTGTAGCAATACAGGTTGTAATCACATTTTTACTGGCAGCAATGTACCCCTCGGGTTCAACTAAACGAAAGCTGAACAGTTTTTTTAATCACAGTGTCTAGAGTTACGTCCGAGAGAACCCAACGTCGCTGTACATAAATTTTTTTTAATTGCATCCGACGTAACCCTAAAAAAACAAAATTAAAGTTATATCCGACATAATGTAAAATAAAAATTAAAGCTACATCCGAAATAACTCCACTTAAATATTTTGTTATGCCTGGCGCAATTCTAGTTTAGTACTTAAAATCATGTTCTGACTGTCCTGTTGTGAAATCTCTAACGTGAGGGTCCATGCCTTCACCACTCTTCAGTGGCAACTTGATTTAGCGTGTAGCCGTGACACAAACGCACTGGGGGTTCTCCGCTCTTTGACCGTGGTATTGGTATCGCATGCAGCAACCAGTTACCAAATCGTTACAGAAAGTTTGAGTATGTAACCTTCTAAGAACTGCAAAAAGAAAAAATATAATGTTGCCTCTTTTGCGTGTTGAAACCAACTGAATGCAACGACTTTGTCCAGCCCCCTCTGCCACGACGTCAACTAAGGCCCCGGCTGAGGGGCGTGGAACTACGTGATTTTATGATTACAACATCGTAACTTCATTTCAGTTTTGTTTGAATGATCTGACAAAGCGGGACACAAGACCCAGTTTCCTAGTACGTGGGACGTAACCTTAAATTGTATTGTAGGTTACGTCAGACGTAACTTTAACTTTTGTTTTTGGGTTACGTCGGACGTAACACTAGGCACCACATTTTTTTTTTAATTTTAAAAAGCTGTAAGAGTAAAAATTACATCAGATGTCACCGATTATGTGTCGACACTTTTTACAGTTAACGGGGGGAGAGAGGTTCATTGCAAGCCGTGTGGCAATCGGTGCAAGTGTTTTCTAATATAAACTTTTCAGTTTCAGTCCTGCCCAATTTTCGTGCAGGAACTGAATTCAGGAGCCAAACTATAGAGAGTCATTCCTGACTTCTTTGAGCTTCCCTTTAAGTTGCTATTTCTCTTTTCTTTCTTCCTTACTCATCAAACACTGTGTTGCTATATGATTGTGGCGAGTAGTATAATACGAAGCTATTAACTCTGAATTTTCTGAATAATGGAGAAATCTTTAGAATTATTGACCTAGAAAATTGCCAACCTTACCTATGAAGAAGAAGTAGGAAGAATATAAAGAAACTGACTATGAAGGCCCAGCATGTGCCATAACGACCACATATCATGGCACAGGCTACACGTGCGATTTATGGTGACCAAAATATTTTTCTTCCTCCTTTTCTATTAAAATATCTAGTTGCGAGTCAGCACTCTGTTCTATCCGGTGTGTCTCTTCCCTTTATGTCCTTTTGCGCTGTGTATTTTTTTATTATGTACAACCTTACCTCGTTTTCAGCCACTGAAGGTCAGGCTACCCTCAGGGCAGAATTTATCTCTAATCTTCTTGGACACTGAAGGCAAGTGGTTTTATATCTTGCATCTCATAGAGCCAAAGTTAAGCCTAATGAATTTTGTTGCAGGCTTTGCCGCAAACAATGTCTCTGAAAACTATGATGCCAAGATTTTTGCTGTTGCAACCCTTATCAGCTCGCACCTGATCTACAACTCAGTCAAGATAATCGACCAAGCTGACATTGACTACCTGGAGCTATTGGCCAGACGCACACAGGCAGGATACCTCCTTTTTATGTGATTAGATTTCCTAAAACGAATCTGCCATCAAGAAACATGCTCCACCCCCGAAAGATAACCCACCCCTATGTTTGGCACAATTTGATATTGTTTTAAAAACACCGTAAGATAGTCAACTTTCAGTAATTCCAGGGCCCTGGCCAATTCTGACCTCGGCAGAAATAGTGTTACTTAGCCACGACGGGAGATAAGCGAGCATTGTTGAGTGGGAAGGTCAGTCACTAGTTCCATAGGTCACAAAATCCAAAACTACAGTGAAGTTCTGAGAGAACACCCGGCCCTGGGAGATCGCCCATCCTGTTTTTCTGGCTAAATATCTGTAAAAATAAGAATTCCCAAACATCGCCTACCCCTTGATTCTTGTTGGACGTCGCGCGATGTTTGACGAGAATCTCATCAACTGCGCAGTTTGCTGTACCGGCACGTCTAACAAGCGAGTTCATAGCAGGTTCCCACGTTTTTGTCTGCGATCTGCGCACGCGATATCGGCTCTCTTAACACGCGAGTTGTTCCCACGTGTATGTTCCACCGTGAAATGCGAATCTGCTGCGTCTGCAATCTGGTATCCGTTCCCGTGACATAAAATTTGTAGCGGATTCCCGCCTGTATTTGCATCGTGAAATACGATTTTGCTGCGTTCGCAATCTGTGTTACTTTTTCCCTTAACATAAGGGTTTGTAGCGGATTCCCGCATTTTTGTCCGCGATCTGCGTGCACGGTATCGGTTCCCGTGACGGGCCAGTTCGTAGCGGGTTCCCGCGTGTTTATTGCACCATTAAACTTGAATCTGCTCCGTCCACGATTTGCGGTATTTGTTCCTGTGAGATGCGAGTTCTTGACTGGTTTCCGCGGGGCCTTCGCACCGTGAAGCTCGAATCTGCTGTGTCCACAACCTGCGGTATCCTTTCCCGTGACGCAGGATTTTGTAGCGAATTCCTGCGTGTTTATTGCATCGTGAAACACGAATTTGCGGTATCGGTTCCCGCATTAGGTAGTTGTAGCCCGTGCCGGGGTGTTTATAATTAATTTTCGATAAAGTTTTGCTGTGGCATCCCCAAAGATAGCCCACCCCATGTTTTTTGACTATTTATCTCTTTAATTTGTGTGGGCGTTCTTTCGAAACATTACGGTAGCATTTTTTTTCTCATTTTTTATTTGCACATTGAAAGTTAGCTTACTCCTTATTTTAACATGATTTGCCTTCGATTTTAGGTGGGCTATCTCTTGGGATATTACTGTAGCCTCCAAATGAATGAAACTTCACAATAAATGTAGAGGATTATTTTCAGTTTAGGTAATGGTTACTTTACCATATAACCATATGTAGATGTCATTCTCTTTTTAAAACTTTTGAATTGGCAGTTAGAATGAGTCATTCATTGTTGTGTTATGTGGACATGTCATTTGCTCTGTGTCAGTTGTTATACCTGGGAGGTGTCGGTTATTAGTGGTCCATCATTGGTTTTTCTCTGTTGCAGCTCTTTGCCTTGCGGTCGCAATTGTCTCGTGCCAAATGGAACGACGGTTTCGTCCATGATCTGCTCAGCTTTCCGCCACTGCTTTGGGTAAGTTTGTGAAAGCAATCTTCCTGTTTAATCTGTGCATTAGTCACGTTTAGTTCTTTGCACTGGAGGCGCTCGGATGTACTTGGTTTCATTCACAAGTGGATAAGCAGACAAAAACGAGCAGAACATATCCAACAAAGTGAACATCTTCTAAAATATTAATTTTTTGCTAAAAGTTATTAGCCTTCCAAAAGAAAAATAGAAGTGTTTTCTCGTCCTTTCCCCACCTTTCATAGGTATCTTCCATAGTCTCCTAATCGAGCCTCACTATTTGGTGTTAAACCCCCTATTTCACAAAGAAATTTATCTTTTATTAATGTATTGGGATGTACCTGCTATAATGCTTCAGCACCGTGGGTTTTTGTAAATAATTAAATAAAACTCGCGGGCACCCTTACTTTTGGGAACGTGGCAAACTTCTGCGGGAATGTTGACAGGAGATGAATCCAAGCTCGGTGGCATCCTCCATCTTGAGGAAATCAAAAGAACTTCACTTGGGACACTTTGATTGTACCATTGCGCATCGAGCTCCCAAGAGCACAACACTGGTGCATTTCTAGAGCGTAGCTCTCACCCAGTTGCTCGCTAGTGATCCAAGAGTCATCGCGCGCCCACCCAGAAACAAGCGAGAACAAGATAACCTGGAAGTATTTCTCACCTCCTGTCATGGCGGCCGGAGGCTGCCCGAATACCCTGTTAAGAAAACACTTTCTACTTGAAGATAATGGCAAGAAGTGTAATGAAGGAGCAATGCACAAAGTAATAAAACCCAAAAGAAACCCCCCAAAATGCAATCACCAGAAGCCAGATTCACGAACAGCTTCTTATTTTACAACAACTTAGCTAAGAAGTTTCCTTTGTAAGTTAAGAACATCGTAAGAAGAGAAGAAATCGGTGTTCACAAACACGCTTTGAAGTCAGAGGAGAAAAGCGACGTTCTTGTACGGAAAAACTAGAACTTACCGGTGCTATTGCTATAGCGTTGGCGTCTTTGAAAGCACAAACAACCAATCGGAGAGCTCGGCATGGTTTGGAGCACTTACATTTTTAACAACAAACACAGACGGCCTTTCCACCACTGATTGTCTGGGGTCCGTGTCCGTGCACGGATATGTCGACGCTAGCACAATTTAAACACGCCCGAATGCCAAGGCCGGGATGCATAACCGCTTCCGTTGACTCCTACGAACTCAATCGCTACGAAGTCAACACAACTGTCATCGTTGGTAAAAGACGGCCCGTGCCAGTCGTTTGCAAAGTGACGTAGATAGAAACAAATCGCCGCAACGTTTCTCGCAGCCTCGAAGATGCAGGAGTGATCCGACGTTAAAAATATATACGTTCGAACTACGAGAATGTCACCAAGAGCCACGTAAATACCTCTTTACACTCGAAGCGGACGCGCGCTTTTGATTGAGGTGCTAGATTCGTGGTGTTGGACCGCGAATCGGTAAGCGCTTCGGAACCAATCTTTTGCGATTGCAACTCTATAGTGCCGTGACACTCGGCAAAGAGAGGTTGGACCAACATTGAGTTGCTCCCACAAACTGTTATAGCTCGACAGTGACGTGCAGTTGTGTCAGAATAAAAACGGCATACTAATAACGAAGTGTACATACCGTGTTGCGAAGGTAATCCATACGGCAATTATTTGAGCTCTATATCACATAAAACAAGGAGATAAAATCAATGTGAGTCACTTTTCGACGACAGCGTTCGCCACCGCTGCCTCGGAAAACAAGATAACAATGGGTCCGGGGAGGAGATTAACCTCTTAATCTAAAATTGAGGTCAGCGATCAAACTATAATACGGGAAGGGTCCACAAGGGTCGCACGGGCATATTCCATTCAGCACGCCAGCCGGTCGTGGGCATACGGTCTTGGCCAAGGACCGTCAGAGCAATGTTGTGCCGAGTCGGAGTTCCTGCTAGGCCTATACTGCCGAGCTCGCTTGGTCGGGGTCTGTGGAATCGTGGCTGTTGGAGCTTTTTGCGGGTGTTTGGGGGTCCAGCATTCTTGTTCGTTGTTTCGTCGTGGTCTGTTTCAAGTACTCTTTACTTTTTTCCTGCTGCTTGAAGTCGGGACGCGCGAGAGGAGCACGTAGAAAAGTAAACATTTATTGGTCGTCGCGACCAAGTGACTGAGCGACGCTGTCAGCCATGCAGATTTGATCGTAAAAAGTGCGTAAGACAGCTCCGGAGCTGTCGTAGGATACCGCCGTAACCTGCGCAAAACTTACGATAATTTTTTTTCGTGAATACGAATTTGTTCTTACGTTTTGTCTTACGCACATTTTCGGCGTAAGATTGTTTCGTGAATCTGGCCTCAGTTCTAGAAATTTGCTAGAGACCCGGGGAGACAAGAAACCCAGGTCTACTTGTAGTAGGCGAAGGGAACTGGTCGTCACCCTGTGAATTGCGTGGGTTTGCATCTGTTTTCTTTAGCATCGGGTTCTACTGTTAAACTCTCCGCAAGGAAAGTGACACGTACAGGCATTTTGCTAACTCTTTGCATTCATTTCTCAAGTTGTGCCCAACAACTCATTAGGGGCTATGTGAAGCATGAAAGGCAATCTCATAGCTCGGTTTGTAATAAGCAATGTCCAAAGTGAGGCGCTTGTGAGTCAAAAATGAATGCCTCGTGCCTTTTGCAACGATGCACAAAGGAATCAAGGGCACGTGTGCAACTAAGACACCTTCCTTATTTCGCTGCTTGAGATCGGGGTGCTGTTCAGAGCTCTCGCAAATTGTTAAAGGCGGTGGTGTTAAGTTATAGACTGTTCCCTTTCCCGTCTGGAAGTGCAGGTGGTGCAGGACTTTGTGCAGACAACTCTTGACAATGAGACACCTACCCAGTGGTTGCACCGGCTCATGGAAACTCACAGCAGAGAGAGCGAAGACTACAAGATCAGCCTACTTGGTGAGAGAAGGACGCATACTTTTTATGTGCAGATGCCTTCTTCATCATCTTCATAAACTTCTTATGCCACCTCCATAAAGTTCTCATGCTTGCCCTTGTAGGTTGGCCATTTTCTTAATCTTGATTTCCCAGCAGGCTATTAATGTGAATGCTTTAACTGTTTCATGGAGCGAGCTGACGTCATCAGTTGGAAGCGCGGAAACGGCAGATAGTTTCCGCGTGCCTTCGGTTCCATTAGCTGGCGCGCGTCGACGGGACTCCCGTTGGCCGCTGCGTCATGGCCTCCAAGATACCGAAGCGCGCGCGCGCTAGTACACAGCAGAAGACAAAGGGAACGGACGAGTGGCTTGCATGCTTTCGCATTCAGAACTCGTAAGAAATGCTTAGGTGTACCTCGAGCTTTTTTTTTATGCTGTTGCAGGGGCGGATCCAGAACTCCGTTTTGGGGTGGACGAAAAAATTTGCAAGGATACTATTCTCCCATTCGACTGAGTGGTTCTCCAAGTTCAGAGTACAAGTGTGCCTGCTAGGTTGCGACCTACCCTATTCTGAACCCTCATCCTTAAGTACCGAGCCTTCTACCACCTGGCAGGCCGGTAATCTGTTTTATTTGGGGGGAGGGAGGTCGGGTTGGGGGTCGGGGGTCGGGGGTCGAAGTCGGGGTCAGGGTCGGGGGTCTACCCACTTAAAATTGCCCTCCGAGAAGGAGGAAGGGGGGGGGGCGACTTAGTTTTTGGGGGGGGCGGCTGCCCCCGTCGCCCCCTCTTGGATCCGCCCCTGTGCTGTTGATGGCAAAATGTACCCAGTTGAAAGAAAGATATAAGACGTAACTATGTTAGTGTGTGTTCATGTCGTGCCTAATAGGTGTCTGTGGTACAAAGTTTGTTTCCTTTGTCCTCCAGATATTTTTAAATCGCTGGAGTGTCACACTCTCTTTTTGCCTGCCGTCAAGCGCCTTCTTCTGACTGATTTATCCGAGGTAAGAGCATAATGACACTGATTTCTGTCATACTTTTTAATAAAGGCTCTTTCACACTCTTGCAGCCGAGTACGACCGAGAGTGACAAGACCGGTTTTTAATCCTCTTACGACGTCTTGGGACCAGCTCCGCAGCAGTGCACTTGATCCTAAGATGTCGCAAGAGGATTAAAAACCGGTTCTGTCTCTCTCGGTCTTACTCGGTTGCAAGAGTGTGAACGAGCCTTAACTGCTTACAAAGTTGAGGAGAGGGGGAGGGGAGGTTATTTAAGATTGGTCTATTCATGCCCTTCGTCGTTAAGCAATTACTTTGAAGTGCCTTCCTGAGCTCACCTGTCTAACATAGTGCTGACGTTAAAGGGGCCATGAAGCGAATTTTCGGCTGGAATAAATTAATTTAGATTGGGATTTTACTAATAGCATATTGTTTAATGGGCAAAAGAAAGAAGGTAGAAAGGCAAAAGCCTGCTTTTCAATACAAATTTCTTAAAACAAAGCGGACTATTTTTTCTTTGAAAGCTCTCTGCCTTTTCAGTGCGATACATCTGCAGTGCCCAAGTACTGAAATCACGTCAGCCGGCCCCAGCTCACGCATTGGACACAAGCACTGCATCCCTGTGCTATCTGACTGTACTCCGTTCACCCTTGAGCTGACAGTGCAGTGGGAGCTACACGCTTGCCAGATCAATCAGCTGCCTCCCTCTCATCACCTGACCCCATTTTGTGCACGTGGGTATACGTGAGGAAGCTTGATCATGTGGCAAAAAGATAGAAGTGTGACTGGCCTAACGAGCACGTAGCTTCCACAGCACTGTGAGCTTATGGGTAATGGAGGATAGTTGCGTGCAGTAAACTCGGCCCTGTACCTTTGTTAACACTGTGCAATTTGTGAGTTGAGGAGGAAAGCTAAGAACGAAGAAATAGAAAAGTCATTTCATGGCCCTTTAATTTTTTCGCTTACATTGAAGGCAGGAAAGAAAAAGTAAGCTTTTACATCATCTTGTTCACAAAAGTTGACAAAACAATAACATTAGTATGCAGTAACTCTTTGTATTCACAAATATCTCGCTACAAAATCTGGCAAGGTGCCCATAAGTATTTGTTAATAATTTTAGTTTATACATAGGGTACTTTTTCACAACAGTTTTTTTCTGTATGCAGGCCAGGGAAGAAGACCTCACAGAAGAGTACATTGAGGAGAGAGATGCTCTTTCTAAAAAGCTCCTTGCAACCTTAGTGCCAAAGACAAAGAATGGTATCACTGTGTTTCTATTGCTATTTATTTATTTTTTTTCTAAAAAGAATGTACAAGACTTTTTGCAGTGCAAAACTCTGAAACTCTGTCCAAAAGTGTAACCCTACCAGAGATGATAAAGTGTGAAAATGTTAGTCATCACTTTTCATTCAAGTATGGTGCCATGCACAAAAGATCAATTGTTGGGAAATACTTTAAGTATGTTACACTAAAAGTACTACCGTAGAGTACAGTGCATCCACCCATTCTACACTAAGTGCCCATTCCCAAATTTGTAAAATCTGGGAAAATACGCACAGTACATTTATATGTAAAAATGATGACCGGACAAGCGCCCATCCCCCTTTTTTTGCACTTATTTTTGAATTTTGAGTGGGTGCTTGCTTGGTATTTTGCGGCATTTTTGCAGAAAAAGTATTTTTTGCCGAAAAAGTACTTAAAGTATTTCTTCTGGTACTTTTCAGAGAAAAGTATAACTCCAGACTTCAAAGTATGTTCCCCAAATGTGGTCTTGTTAAATTTATATCACAAAATTATGCTTTGTCAACTCTGAAGAAATTCTGGGAGGAATATTCTACTCTCACCAAAACGCGAGGAGACGTTTTTCTCTTTTTCTGCGGGGGACGACTCTCCCGTTGCATTTCAAACTCTTACTACTACTCGCTTGGTCAGCGGAAGCAAGGAGGTTATCCTTCACTTGAGCATTGCTTGCGGAAGCTACTGGGCTGTTGTCATGCTCTCTTTATTAGGAAAGGCTGTGTCAAAAAGTACTTATTTATTTTATTTACAGAAACAACCTGCAGCGCCGAAGCATTATAGCAGGGAAACACAAAATAAAACACATACTCACGAACATAAATGCAATGGCAAAATACAATAAGTACTGTTAAATGAAAGAACACGCACAAACTCTTTGAAAGGTTATTGTATTTATAGTACTTTACTTGAAGTACATTGTGCTTGGCATACTTTTTTATTTTACTACTTTACTTTTTCTACTTAAAGTACATGACCTTTCATTTACTTTGTACTTTATGTCAAGGACTTTTTAGATGTACTTTACCCAACGCTGGAGACGTTACAGGAAGGGTTACCTAAAACAGCGCACAAGCACAGGAGGAAGAAACTAGAACACAGCTAAGAGTGCTTACTTCCAGCTTATGTATTGTCAAAGAAAAAGAAAGAAGCTTCAGACATAAAGCCTACGTGTACCCACAAGGTAAAAAGAAGAAAGAAGAAAAAACGGATACATTACTAAGTTGCGGTAGAAAAGGAGAAAACGAAGACATTATGAGGTCACAACAAAAAAAAAGAAAGAAAAAACAGTAAGAAAAAAAAAAAACATTTGCATAAAGTACAGGCCGGCCCCGCTGGCCTGATTTTCGGATGTTGTAGCCTTCTAAAATTTCTCTAGTTTGCCAATTTCAAAATCGTTCTAATATTGTTTTGTCCGAATACATAATTTATTTATTCACAATACCTTACAGGCTCTTTTCCAGAGCATTGAGTAAGTTGGGAGTCAGCACTTTTTCCTGTGTTCTATTTTCTTCCTCCTGTGCTTGTGTGCTGTTTTGGATATGTCTTCTTAGTGCCAGGTAGCTTAACTCTCTACATTATTACAGAAAGTTTCTGAAAAGTTTGAATGAAAGAGTGGTGCTTATAGAACCTGTGAATAAGTGCAGTATTATACCAGTGAGGGACACCATCTTTTCATTTCAAATTTTTTTTCAATTGCTTCAACTTGTTCCTTATGTAGCATTGCGGGATGAAAAACTTTCACATACCCAGTGTTTTTGTCAAGACTCGAATATTTCTAAAATGAGGGTGGTTTAGAAGAAAACAAACTTTCCAGGAACAAACTGCCAGCCACAGCAAGTGTCGGGGATTGCAAAAAAAAGATACTAATTTGCAAAATATCTAAAAATTATGTTTTAATTAGGGAAAATAAACATAAGGTTCCAATTAGAAATTTGCTGCGTGTCATTGAAAACCCTTAAATCTGTCAATTTTAGGACGACTTGAAGCATGTGGGAAGTGGGGGTTGCACTAAAGTTAGCACTCATGCAGCAGGTGCAAGGTGGACGATGCGAAAACATGGATGATATTCTTATTATTTGTGTTTTCATGTATTTGATTATTTGCTCCATTATAATTAAAAAATTTTACCCCAGAACCCTGCCTTGGTTAAGATGAAACCACCCTAATGTCTTCGTAATGTATACCTTCTTCAGGAAGACCAATCACAGGAGCTGAACTCGTCACACTTTTTGAGGTCCTTGTGGAGGCCTCTAATGATGGCTCTCTTGCTGATGTGAGTGAAGCTCCTCTGCTTTATGTATTTGTGGCAGATAAGGGCCAGTTTCTGAGTCTTCATTTTGTTTGGGATGCATGGTGCAGTTCTTTTTTGTCGCAAACTAACTTGGCCATCTCAATAAAACTGCACGAATAGGTACCAAGCCGTTGGACTTCCTTTGTCGAACGAATAATGGATTCTTCTACCGAAGACTGCACTCACTTCTATGAGTCTGAGATGCAAGTCCTTTTTAAGAAAAACGACGACGGACCTGTCAAAGAAGGTGTCCTTGTGGTGAGTGAATGTTGGCATGGCAAACTGCAAAACTCTGGCTACACAGTACCCTTATTATTGGCCCTAGGGTGGTAGGCCCGACACACACGCTGCTCAAAGAGGGTAGTTTCATGTCTGGAAACTGTAGAACACTTTTTACGGAAACTTCATGCATAAGCTGAAGGGGATTAAAGACCTCGCCATAAAATGGTCAGAAGACCTTCTACCGTCGAATACAGTACTGGTATACAGTTCTAGACATTAAACTCGCCCTCTCTGAGCAGCATGTGTGTTGGGCCCACCACCCTAAGGCCAATAGGCCCTTGTTACCATACGACTCATCCCACTCAAAGCTGGTTAAAAAAGGAATAGTCAATTTGTGTTTCATGAGCACCTTAAGGTCTTGCTACCATGCCATGCGCTCGAGTTTAACTGAGCAGTATGAGCGCTTGCTGTGTGCCGGTTTTCCAAAGGCTGTGCTTGTATCTGTAGCAGAAGGTGTCCTTAAGAAACTGCGAAGGGGTGTTAGTACACGCTCAGATGCACTCCAAAAGGAGAGACAAAAGGTGGCAGTTGTGCCGTACATGCCCAAAACAGCGCACAACCTAAAAAAGATAGCAAAACTTGTAAACACAAAAGTTGTTTTATCTGCACCTGAAAAGCTCGCCGAGATGTGCAAATTGACAGACCCGTTTCACAAAGCACCGGCGGGCAGCTTAAAGAAGCACAGGAGTCCCTTCGTCACTTGCGCAAAAGGTGTAGTGTATCAGACTCCACTGTTATGTGGAAAGAAATATGTTGGCCAGCCAGGCAGGTATTTTAATGACAGAGTAAGAAAGCACAATCAGAGATTTCGGAATGGCCATCTTTAGTGTCATTGTCATGACTGCGGGTGCAAACATTTATATGCCACATGTACTGTTCTCGCCAAACATAAAGACAAGACGGAGAAATAATTGAGGCTGACATCATCAAAAGTTCTGGCATCAGCGTGGCCTCAATTGGCTTGGCAGAAAAAGAGATAGCGTACTTGCAATCAGTGACGGGGCGTCGGATTGGTTGAGGGTTTTGCAGTTGCGCAGTGTGAATGCACAATGTTCTCTGATTAAGCAGTTGAAAGTTAGCATTTTGTGTTGTCTATTCTTCCACTGTCCATGTTCTAAAGTGCAATCATGTTTTCGAATTCACAATACCAATTTGCCAAACAATCAGCACTTAATCATTTATTGTGAAAGTGCATTTTCCAAGTTTTATGTGGGAATTCTTTTTGTTTATTTTAATCTGCATGGTAATCATTTACTTTTTTTTTTTCCTGATTTGTTTCATGATCTTAGGAGTGGCATGCTCAAGCAAAGAAGAAATCATTCACTCTTCTCACACAGTTGCTGCATGGGTAAAACACTTTATACTTTTCTTGGTTGGTCTTGTTTTGTGAACAGTCGTGTGTAGCTCTCTGTAAAAAGGCAAATTTGAAGGGATGCTGCACAAGTTTCTTTCGGTTTCCTAAAAGTGTTGTATTTTTGCTTGATTAAAGAATTTTTAGGATTAATAGCGTTTATTTTTTAGCATTCCTTCCTACTTTTGAGGCGGTGTCGTCAGTACGGTTTGTTCATTTTGTGATTAATTTGTGGGACAAAACATTACTATTTGTATAGATTAGGCCTTGGACAGTGTTTTCTGAGGCACCTTTGCTAAATGCATCCACTAAAAAGATTCCTAAAAATCACTTTAGCTTTTCCCCAAGATTGTGGGGAGGTGTGTGTGAAAGGTAGATTTTCCAGCACGACTGGCTGTAGAATGAAGAATTTTGATGAAAACGTTTAGACCTGCAGTTGTTATTTTGCTTAGTGTCTTCTTCAGTGAGATGCTTATACAGCTCTTCTGAAGCTGTCCAGGGTTTTCCTCTTTCTATGGTCACTGGTAGGGTGAGGACGGCAGAGGGGAGTTTCGATCGTCCCTTCTCCAACACGAGCTTCAGTCCTTCGATAACGCTTCGGCGTCTCGTGCAACTCCAGCACGCGCGTGCTGGAGGCCAGGCACTCGAAAGACACGCCCTGCCACTTTCATTCTGTTGGGGACTGTAGTACCCCCTTTCAGCCGTGCCAATTTATTTACGAGTTTCACGTGCGGTTCTAGAGGCGCGCTCAGACAGGTGTTTGCAGTACAGTCCTCCTTTCTGTTTAGTTTTAGCATTCTAGTTTTTAATGGGGAACCCTTTTTGTCTAGCCTAGGGTAGTGTACAGAGGCAACCTGATGCCAGGGTTCATGGTAGTATCAAACTGCTGCATCTCCAGGTTGTCAGATGCCCTCGAGTCGGCAAGCACTCAGCTAGGAAAGAACCTGGAAAGCCTTCATGCCAGGCAGCGAGACTTGAACTCCAAGAAGGTTCGGCTCTTCTGCTCCAACCAGGAACAGAAATATCTGGTCAGTATTGCCTCTCCAGAATAATTGACCCTCTGTATTGAAGCAACCTCCCACTCGTTCCTTCCTTACTTTTTTTTTTTGTAATTTTTTACATGTCCACGCATTGTGTAGCTCACTGCTGAAGGTCATGCCAGGGGCATTGCCCTCCCCATCAACTCTGCCATACTTGAGCGAGACCTCGGTGCCTACGCAGAGAGTCTAGTCACGGACTTTGCCAAGGAACTGGATAGTGTTCTTGAGGAAGAGGACAAGAAGACATACACCAGATCACTCAAGGTTTGCTCCTGCTTTGGTGCTGTTGTTCTCGTATGAAAGCTCAATCGTGCCTCGATGCAAAACAAGACATCTGCTGGAGGGTCTTTACAGTGATGGCTCGTAGCACACCTTCGAGTTAATAACGTAGACCCGCATGTACGACCTGCGGAGGCAAGAAACTGGGTGGAAATTGTTGTTTCAGCATAATAACAAAGCCTGTCCAGATAGCAGTGGTTGCTACCTTCCCATGCCTTCCTTATATTGTTGGGGTGAGAACGACAGGGCATCTCTTTGGAACACCCAACGTCCAGCACTCGCTTGTTACCTTTTGCCATACATTGGCTGCACGCACACGCTCTAGGTTCTTGAGACGCCGCTGTCAAATGTAGGGTGCTCGCGCTGGAGACGGGACAACCGCGGTTCTCGCCCTGCCGTTCTCACCCTTTCGGTGACCATAGGTTCTGCTGTGCCGTTTTTGAGCAAGTCGATAAAGTGGATCCTAAATGTACGAAATTGTAGCGCTAACCTGTTGCAAGGAACACTTAAGTTGCTAGTTCCAGAAAGGTTAATGTCTAACATGTAAAGCTGTGTTAGATACACTGGTATTTGTGGCAAGTTCTTATATTTCTTTTACATAGTGTAAAAAAGGCTGTTTATGCACTCAGTAATGCCAATGTTTGCCTTGTTGGCTCCATAGCTGCCCGATTTTGCTTTTATGCTGCACTGACATCAGTAACAACTGCTTCATATACCCCAACAATGGTTAACCGGACAAAATGTAAAAACAAACTCCCTATACCTTGTACTTATGCCCCTTTCCGTTGTAACGTTTTTTGTGTTATGATCTCTAATTTGTGAGGGCTTCTGCTCTAATGCTGTTTTATATCCATTTTTTTTCGCCCCATTTTCCCTTCTGACTTTTTGGGGTGAATCGCAGCAATCACTTGCGCATTTGATCGATGCCACCCAACTCCAGAATGAGCGTGCCTTGGAAGCTGTCTTTGAGAAAGCTGTGGCTGCAGCGTCTGGTGAGAGAGTGCCACCTATTTTTTTAATGAGTGAGATGTGACTGAAATGCTCCACGTTTGAATAAAAATGGATTGTGTATTCTCCTTTCATTTCTCAGATACCTTCTCATCTAAAGCTGCTGTATCAGAAGCTCTAACTGATCAACAACTGACGAGAGCAGCAAAAGAAGGGATGGACGCTGCTTTTCAGGTACATGCTTGTTTTTGTTATAGATGCCATGTTTGTGTCACAACTCTTGAATTTAGGCCATGCTAAAAAAGGGGCACAGCTTCAGTTTAGTCTTGGGAAGGTTAGTGTCTTATTTAGACAGCCTTTACCATTTTCTTGGTGTTCTATCTCATTTAATGTTTTTCGACAATTGTTCTGATTTGAGTTGTACCATGGCTTTATAGGTTTTCGATTCGGAATGCAAGAGGTTCTCAAGCGAAAAGAAGTATGGTCTTCATGAGGCACTGCTGAAGGTGAGTTTTTATGAGCGGTACATTTTGCAGCGGAGCTGAGTGCTTGAACACAAACCTGCTGCTACCATTGGTTTATGGCTTTGTGGCAACAGCTACCAAGCTGGAATGTATTTTGAGCAATCTGGGAAAGTTCAGTGAGGAGGAAGGGGAGGTGGGGGGGGGACTTGCACTGTGCATCCAGAATAAGGCTCGCGAAAATGCTAGATATCCAGTCATTTTTCCTTGCTTTCATTTGATGTATATAGTAGTATGCATTTTAATGCAGTCTTTTTTTGCATGTGCCTATGTGTTTGTGGTTTTCAGCTTTGTACATCCCAAGCTCTGTAGCTAATATATAATTTCTGGTCAAACAAACATCATTGGGCCGAGTTTTTTGCCTTCTTGTTGCCTTGTCTTTCTTTAATGGAGGCACGGCAACTGGTGGGCGCTGTTCAGGCATCTTTTATTTTATGGATATTTAGCCAAAACAATCGGCTGGGCAATCTCTCTAGGCTGGGCATTTGCTTGGGATTTTTTTGGTATGGTGCTTTGGAGTATGTATTCCAAGACCTAACTGTTCTTTTCTTCTTTGCACTCAGGATGTTATAAACCGTCGAATGGAAGACCTTAGAAAAGAGAATGATCAATTTATCTCAAAACTGATGGCTGATACTGTAAGTCTTGTTTTTTGTATAGCGTTTGACTTTCTGTCTATGCATGTCCAGAATTTTCCTGCATATCTTTAAGAGAAATGGGGCATTGAATTCATTACTTAGTTCAGTCGAGCATCACAAGTCCACTCTACAATGTGCCTGTTGTCATTTCTTTCAGACAAGGAAACTCGTGGAAAGGTTTGCTGAGAGAACTGGACCGCAGCATCTGTCCTTACCAGTGAATGATACTGACCTTGATCTAAGGTACCTCCACCAGTACATTGCTTGTGGTAGTTCAAGGGAAACTCCTCCCACCTCTTTCCACTTCAGCAGAGCGAATGCTGGAGAGGAGGTCATCTCCTCCCCAGCGTTTGCTCCGCTCCGACTATTCGGAACTCCAGCGCACCGCTCGCCCTCTCGCGGACGGAGATCAGGAAAGCGGACGGAGATCAGGGGAGCGGGGACAGCAGTGGCGGCAGCGGCGCGGAAACGGTGGCAGGGGCTGTTGGCCTTGGCGCATGAAGCCGTTTAAAGGCCGACGACCAGACCCGAGATTCTGCAAGTAAGAAGATCCTCCTCACCGTGGGGAAGGAGGAAACAGGCCAGGGTGGACAGGGTAGAAGGGGGGAGAGGAGGAAGCGGGGGAAAATTGGAAAGTGCGATTTGGTTGTCGGTCTTTAAACGAAAAAAAGTGAGCGTGTTAAAATAGGGATTCTTGTGCTCTGCCTTGCAACAGCGTTGTACGAAGGACAGGGATGTATAATTTCTAGGGGTGTGCGAATAATCGAAATTTCGAATACAAATCGAATATTTTCCTTATTCGAAACGTATTCGATTCGGAAATTGCATATTCGGAAGTTCCCGAATATTCCGCAATACTCGGGAAAAACAGCGAATATTTGCACACACTGTGAATTTTCGAGTAACGAATAATCTGCCTGCCATGCATTACCCTATGAATATGTTTATTCACTGAGAAAGGCGTATCATGCGTGCGTTTTTGGTCTGCTCTGTTTCTATCTGTCCGATGGCAGCAAGACAGGATTAGTTTCGTGTTTTTTTTTTTGCCAAGCCCTTTGTTGTGGGGCATTTTTATAGCAATATGTGATGTAATTGCACATTTTATAAATTGATACAGTACAATGAGCCTCGAGAGTGAAATATAAATATAAAATAAATCTCGAGTGTTATCTAAAAAAAATGTTTGGAAATTAAAAAAAAAAAGCTAGGTGCGAGCAAAACATTGCATCGCCATTGACAACAACTCCTGCCACTTCCGCGCTGTCAAAACTATGGATGTCAGGAACCTGCCCAGGTTCGAGCCGACCAAGTTAGACTTTTTCGAACTTTCAACGTGATGTTTGACAAAGGTTCGAGTGAAGTTCAACTTTTGTGCGCATGCACAAACATAAAAAAAAAAGCTAGTTGACTCTACCTGGCGGAGGGAAAGTGCAATATTTGTTCGGTTTATTGGCATCACTGATTCACATTAATAACTAATGAAAGCGTTAAAAGTGCATATTTTCACCTTTATATTGTGTAAACATTAACCATTTTATGAAATATAAAATAGAGTACTTTTTAAGTTATTTGTTTCCCAAAATTTGAAATATTTGTGTAGCACCTGGGCAACACTGTCCGTAAGTCGAACTCCTTCGAACTTTAGTGAAATTTCACAGGTTTCCCGAGTGAAAGGGTCATTCTACTGGTGGAAATGTTGTCACGGCGCGTAGGGAGCGCTTACTTTCTCAATACGTTGAGCAGTTAATTTTCCTACATGATAATTTGTAATGAGTATCTCTAGAGGTATCTTTAGCCTGCCGCAGTCAAGTAAAATGCAGTTGCGTTGATTTATTTTAAAAGGCAAAAAAACCTACTGTTTGCCATAAGTAGGAGAAAACTCATCGCCAAACAGTATGTCGAGCTATACACATCGTGAATGGGTTTGCGTTTTAAGGTTATTACAAGGAACATGCACATTTACTCTGAGCACTTTCAAAAGACAGAATACCCGTACTTGCTTTTAGGTAATTACAAAGAAAATGAAGAAATGCTCGAAGAATTTTAAGCGCGTCTGTGTTAGACAGCCGTTCGGGATGAGAGCTTAGAACGGTCACTTTTGGTGAGAGGGGCTGCAACGTTGCAAATATCAGGCACAAAAAATGTATGGTATATTAAAATATTTATTTTTGACAGAGTCATAAATATAACCCCTAAACACGCCGATTATGTTAAAAGGCAGGCATAGCGTTACTGCAGGCTACCGGCACGGCCACGCTCCTGGCGCACGCTGAAAATTGTGCTTCAAAGGCGCTTCCGGTTGTAATGCTACACTGTACGGTAGCCCGCGGTAACAAACTTTTGTATCAATAACCATAGAGCAGTTTGATTACATGTTGCAATACACTAAAACCAAGACGGTGATCAGCGAGTTGCGAGCCTGTGACACAAAGACAGCAATACTGTGAACGCTGTTCTTCCGAAGCTCAATGGTCACCGTGCATGTGTGGGTCACTTTTTGGAGCACTAATGGCCAGGCAAAGTGCAAACATAATATCTTCATCACCCTCGAAAATATTCTGCCACAAACAGGGACGTGGCCTAAAATGCGCTCACCCACCATAGTGCTTCGCAAGTTGAGGTTTCTGCAACTTCTAAATATCAGCATGCTCATTTTCCTATCGTACATCAACATCTCCGTCACCTGTAATATGATCCCTCCCTAACCGCTTCGCATTTGCAGACAAATCATTTTTAGCGCACGGGAAATCCTGGGGAGTCTATCCCCGTCTCTTTCGCCACCTTTGAACTACCGCGTTGGAGTTGCGAATAATCTTCTAGGTCTAGTAGAGGGATAAAATGCATGTCATTGTGGAGTGTTGTGTAGTCTTAAAACAATATTTTTTTGTCTCGGGTGATAATATCAATAGTGTATCGATGCCATCATGCAGGCACAAAGTTATCATGTATTTCGGGTAAAGAGTTCTTTGTAGTGTCAGAAATGATCGGCAGTTATGGATTGTCTTGACTCTGACTTGGTCAAAGTCAAGACATAAAATTACTTGCTTTTCAGCAGTCATTTTTTGTCAACACTGATAGCTGCTTTGCGCACATGTTTTAGTACACAAAATCTGTAGCAAGCATTTTTCCTCGACTAAGATCTTTATATTATCTAATAAAACCTCCATTTCTTTTTCTATTTTACCATTCTGGCGAATTGCTTCAGTAACTTCACCAATCATCAATCGAATGCAAAACGTATCTATCAAATTCTGTGTAATCAGTTCGAACAATGAAAGTATAGAGTTCTTCATACATTTTAATATGGAAAGAAAATGAGTCTGTTTGAGTTTTTCAATATTGATGCTCGTATTCCCCATCTCGAAAAGGGATGTGAATCAACCGGTGTTGTGGAACAAGTAGTATGAGCTAACATTTTGCATGTCATGGAACAGAACCATTTAATGTCTGATGTGGCTCCCATCTCATTACTTTATTATTATTCACAAAGTAATACCAGGCTGAGCAATTTTGCATCTGGCATGTGGCACAGGTCATGCACTTGTGACACAGTGCTCAGGGCTTTTGGGAGAAGCTTGGAGAGTCCGTATCCATGAAGTCAGTTTCCTTATCCAAAGCAAGATCATTTGCAAAGCCTCACAAATGTGGACTGTTCTATGTCATCTTGTTTGGGTAATGCTGCCGACTGCATTGCTTTGAACATAATTTAAGTTTGTTTTCTGCAAAGTTCTATGTAGCCAGACGAATGCTACAACGAATTAGCCCTGCCATGTCAACACGTGACAGAAAGAGTGCTCAGGGCAGAATCTCTCTGCAGCCAAGCTGTGGGAGGAGAAAGAAAAGTTGGGCTAGTTGGTATGGGTGCATGGTAGAAACAGCAGAAACCAACTCTTTCCTTAACATATGAAAAAAGGCTGTTATGAGGTGGCCTCAGTAGAAAAAATTGTTTAGCTGCAAATTTGGCTACTAAGTGTACTGAAGCATACCAAGATGTAGCTAAAGGAATTTTCTTTTCAAAAATGTAAATGTCAAACAAGATATTGATTATATATAGGGCTGCAGGTTTTCGGATAAATCCGAAAAACACCCGCTGGTAAAATTTTTGTCAATTCGGATTTATCCGATAAACTCCAGATTGTTATGTGCCCATGCCACCCCCCACCCCCCCCCCCCCCACACACACACACACACACACACACATATACACACAGAGCAAAAAAAAATTAATCTACGTATATATATTTCTTTTTTTACAATTTGAGTAGCGTAGGATCAATGGTCCTGGGAAAATGACACCATAATTATCTTTCAAGCCTCGGACTGTTGTCAAAAGGGGGTCTTACGGCTTGTCTCGTCAAGGTTGGTTCAGGGAAACAGGTCATCGTACCATTCAAGTCGGGACAAAAGCCACTCTTTTGGTTTCCAGTTCGGGCCATGGGATTTGGGATTTAGAGAAAGGAGAGGGTATGTTTCTGGGGGTAACAGTGAAAGCTATGGACCGTAAAGGTTGTATAAAATAGGGAAGAGGGGCAGTTGAAACTTCTCTGTTACATCCTTAACCACTCCACCTCGCGCGGCCGCGGGATAGATTGATGGGATGATTACGAGCTTCCTTGTGGCTACCTCCGTCAGTTTATTGAGTTTAAGGTATCGACGTTTATCGAAGCCACACTTGTGTGCGACTTTTGTCGTGGGACAAATTAGTATTGCCAATGACGGCAATGCCAAATTCAACTGAATTTGGCGTTGGCGTCAAAAATACGGGAGGCGCACGTCACAAATGGTTTGGAAGACCCAGCAAGGTGGCCAGCGATTACTTGCAACTTGCTGCTTGCGACATGAAAAATGGTTCTTGGCATAGCTGCGCGAAGGTGAGTACGCAAGACGCAGTTGACCGCTCGCATTGCACTCTCATATTTGTAAACAATAATACATGTTACTTTTTGAGAAGAAAGCTTTATTTCTTTCTCAAGTTACAGCATTTCGTGCGTGAAATAAAACATTTTGCTGTACCTTTGTGGCACTACAAGTGTGAGATGCTTAGGTTTTGGGGTCACAATGGGGAAACACTTTTAACACTTCCTTGCGTAGCATGAGCCGACGCAAGCTCTAAATTTAGAGCTAGTGTGCACTAAAATTGCCTATGTTATTCTAAAACTCCCTATTTATGGTTCTAGGTCGAGTCTATTTAAAAAATCTTTTCAAGATGTGTTTTAATTTTCATTCATGCAAGTTTACATTTTGCATGATTATGCTTTGCTTAGGCTCCTACAAGAGGCCCGTACCTCGCACGCAGAGTTCAGACGCTCCCTGGATGCCTTCCAGACTTCGCCCGAGTACAAAAAGTCTTCACAAGAGCTGCTGGTATGTGTATGCAGCAGTTGAACCTGTGCAACTGAAAGAAGTCTAAAATCAAATTTGTAAGATCTGAGAAAATATGCACAGGACGTTTATACATAAATTTTTTATTTATTTATTTATATACCTTAAGGACCCCCGTAGGGGGTATTACATAAGGGGTGGCATGCAATAAACATCAACAAAAGGGTACAATGTCACAAAAGTAAATTATGCATATAGAATAAAACAAAATCGTCAAGACAATTAGTATGCAAACAAAAACAAAAAACAAACAAGAAAACTAAAAATACCTAGAACGCGATTGCACGTATTAATTCTTTAAATCTAATGAGTCATGAGTAGTTACAATGTTCTGGGAGAGCCCGTTCCAATCGGAGGCTGTACGTGAAAAAAATGAGTTCTGAAATGTGGTGGTTCTTGCTTTTGGACGCTGTACATCAAGATTGTGACCCGTGCGACGGTTGAGGCCTACAGAAAGAACGATGTATGATAATCGGAGGCACGGGCTGTAAAAAAATTTTTGAAAAAGAGATAAACTAGCTAAACGGCGGCGTTCAGAGAGGAGGGGGAGATTGGCACGGGTTCGAAGAGATGTGACGCTAGTAAAAGAAGAATAATCTGAGTAAATAAAACGTAATGCTCGACGCTGAACTGATTCAATGTTATTGATGAGGTAGGCTTGGTGCGGATCCCAGATAGCAGATGCGTATTCCAGTTTAGGGCGGATAAGGGATGAGTAGGCAAGTTGTTTTATGTGAGGAGGGGCCAGTTTCAAATTGCGCCTTAAAAAACCTAGAGAGCGATTAGCAGAAGATATGGTGTGACTGATATGAGTAGCCCAAGAAAGATCAGATGTAAGATGAACTCTGAGATACTTGTAAGAATTAGTTTTTTCCAAAGGAACGCTGTTAAGGGAGTAGGAAAAGATAGAGGATTTAGAGCGACGTGTAAACGACACAAGCTTGCACTTATTGACGTTGAGACACATCTGCCATGTGTTGCACCTTGCTTGGATGCGGTTGAGGTCATCTTGGATGAGTATGTGATCTGATGGGTTAGTCACTTGGCGATAGATGACACAGTCGTCAGCGAAAAGACGAACATGCGATGTTATTGATATAGGCATGTCATTAATGTAAATTAAAAATAGAAGGGGTCCGAGGACCGATCCTTGAGGAACACCGGAAATGACTGGAGCAAAAAAAGATGATGACTGGTTAGCGGTAACAAGTTGCTGTCTGTTAGTTAAAAAGTTAATGATCCAGTTCAGAATCGAGGAATCTAAGTTGAGTTTAGAAAGCTTGTATATGAGTCGTCTATGAGGAACCTTATCAAACGCTTTGGCAAAGTCCAGGAAGATAGCGTCAGTCTGAATGTTTGAATCAAGGTTAACATGTATGTCATGAGTAAACGATGCAAGTTGAGTTTCACATGAAAAATCTTTTTGAAAGCCGTGCTGGGATGGGTTGATGAAACAGTTGTCTGACAGAAATTGAATGATGTTAGTGTAGATGATATGCTCCATTAGTTTGCATGATACGCTTGTTAGGGAGATGGGTCGATAGTTAAATAGGGAGTATTTGTCACCATTTTTGAAAATCGGGACAATCTTTGCCACTTTCCAGTCATCAGGCAGAAGACTACTAGAAAGAGATTGCGAAAATATTTTAGCTAATATCACCCTCACCAAGTCTTTCGTGTTTTTTAGAATTTTTGCATTTACGTTATCCATGCCTGCTGATGAAGAGATTGACCAGAAAAGCGCCCATCCCCCAGTTTCTTGCAATTATTTCTAAATTTTGAGTGGGCACTTGCCTGGTATTTTACAGTATGTTGAAGCAAGACACTACTGCCTCTGTTGTGCAACCATCTTGTGCATGAATTACGTGGTGCTTTATTCAAGCCTCACAAATAAAAAAAAAAAAGCCATGAAAGCTACAATAATGTGGTTCGTGCAGGTGAGTTGTACGGCCAGGGGGGCATATTCAGTGGTGTCACTAGGGTCGGCGACACCTGGGGTGCCCTCCGCGACACCCTCCCCTCCCCCCCTCTCGTGGCCGACCGCAACACCCCCCTCTTTCACTGCCCAGCTGCACCCCCGTGAGCGCTGCACCCAAGGAGGTGTGTGACACCACAGGACATATCTAGCGGCTAATTGTCACGATAAGTCAGATAATTAACTAAAATTTGTTGTAATCAGTGAAAATAAATATATTGTTCCAGATGTAATCCATTCACCCTTAAGCCGAGAGTAGAAGCTGTGCCTTCAGCGCAAGCTCGCTGGCTTCTGCAGTGCTTTGGTTGCGCGTGCCTATACGTTCACACTTGTGTTAGCAAGGGCAGGAAGCTTGTGCTGAAGGCAAAGCCCCTGGTCTCACCTTAAAGGGACACTGACGGGGTATTTATGCCCGCCAATGTTTTTATTTCTACATTACATTTGAAAGCCCAACTACCCAGAACACAATTTGCGGCGCGAAATTCATTTTCTTTTCTGCCCAAAAACCGCCGATCGAGAACTTGCCGGTTTAAGTCACGCTCACTCTCTTTTCCGTCGTCAGATGCCGTTTTCTATGATTTGGACACAACCACCAAAAATAATTAGTCATGGTCATCGAAGGCACATATTCAATATTAAAATAGAAAAAAAAATATGATGCCAATTTTTTGTGGCTTCTAAGAAACTGCAAATACATTGACTGAAAAAAAAAAAAAAAAAACTGTTGCAACAGCTATGTGACGTTCGGTGACTTTCTCCTCTATATTTCTTCTTGCTTTACAGGTTCGATTTTGAACAGTTGCGTTTTTTTACTTATTAAGAATTAATCTGATGTTGGAGCAAAATATTGACTGTGTAGTCTTCTGACACCATAATAAATTGCCTGGCGAAAAATAAAAAAAAAAAATTTTTGGGGGGTGTTAGTGTCTCTGTAAGGTTAGACAGAATATAGAAACTTGCTGAGCGTCATTGAAAACCACGAAACAATTAAATGAAAAAGATTTGGCGCATGTGAGGCATAGTGGTGCACTGAAGTCACCACTCATGCAATAGGTACACGGTTCGCGGAGCAAAAATGTGGATAATACTGACGTGTTCTTGTCATCTGTGCTTTTGCATTGCCAGCCTTGAGCCGGTTGCACAAATTGGAATGTTAGTGCACAACCATGCACTCAAAATCTTCCTAAAATTGACCCAGTTAGTGGTTTTCGACGGTACTCAGCAAGTTGTATGTTTATATGTTTATTATCTCTAATTAAAAAGTTAAGGGAGAAATTGTAGTTAGTTGTCCAGCCTATTGCGACGATTAGTTTTTCATTTATGCCCCTTTGGTTGTATAACTCACCTGCAGAGACCATATTATTAGCGTAGCTTCCACGACCTTTAACGCATAGAGCTAGAAGCTTCTGTCGCAGAAAATCCGGTGTTGGCGTCGGTGTGGCCATAAAATCCCATAATGCAGTGTGCACTGCCACCTGTGACTTCACGTGTGACATCACACGTGGCTGTGATGTCACGACCCTGTCAACCCGCTAAATTTGGCGGGAAAATTTGCAGCTAAATTTAGAGGAAAAATTTCCCGCCGAACCTAGCAGAAAGATTTCCCGCCAAATTTAGCCGAAAATTTTCCTGCCAAATTTAGCCGAAGAGAGAGATAAAGAGAAGGCTTGCGAAAGAGGAAATAATAATGTGTATGTCACAGCCAGAGTCCAGAAGTTCATCATTAGGTGGGGAGGAGGGGTTAACAGCTGATAGAAGGAAATATTAAGAAAGACCTGACTAATTTAGCTGAAAATTTTCCGCTAAATCTAGTTGGTTGATAGGGTCATGGCATCACAACCACGTGTCACATTGTGCGTCACGGGACATATCACACATGACGTCACGTGACATGACATGACACGTAACGCTACCGACTAGACTACGCACACACGCTTGCACGGCTTGGAAACAAGCGCGGGTTTACACGAAAAGGCTTTGCAAACGGAGCCCGATAACGCTATTGCGTTCTATTCTTAAAGTCGAAGCTTAAGCGTCCCCCAAATTTTTTATAAAGTCTGTAAAGGCTATAAAAAATACCCTGTATAGCTAGCAGAGCCGCTTGAATAAGCGACAAGGCTTAATCCCGTGAAAGGCACAACTGCTCACCAGCCGTGCCAAGTGCAGCACGCAGGTGCAGTTCATGGAGGATTAATAACTTTAGGTGCATATCCAAATTGCTTCCAAATTATCAGGATGCAGAAAATGAAAGTAGATGCTTCAAAGCTTCCTTCTGACAATTAGTTTAGTGACTGTCGACACTGCTCGAGTACTTTTGAGCAGAACTTTCTTAATAAATAACAAATTAATTGTGCTAAACTTTTCATGGCTAATTATTTTTATTTAAAGATTTCTAAGACCTCTCCAAGTAAGCTCCTGGGAAATTACCACTACATCATGTTCTTTTTATGAAATTTAAAATGTCAAATTTTAAAACCTCCAATAATGCAAGTGGCTGGCGGAAGTGGCCGGCCAGAGTCATCTACGTAATAAAAGTATGTTATTAGTATATGCCATGCAGTCTTTTGCATAACTATGAAATCATATTTTTGCTTATATAGTCATGTCTTGTTAATATGGGCCCCATTAATATTGGTCCTGTAATATGGATACCCCTCTATATAGATCAAATTTACGGGGATGAACTGCATAAATACGTGCATTTTTGTCTCATTATTATAGACTGCTGATATTATGGACAATTTTCTTGGGGGTACAGAGGTGTACATATTAACGAAATGTAACCGACTTTGCAGAATATAGACCATTTTACTGAGTGCTCTCAGGGTGGCACCATTTTGTTACATCCAGGCATTTGAACAAATTGAGTGGCGTAAAAGAGGGAGAGTGCACCCAACCAATCCCGGTAGCGGACGACAAACCGGCCGTTTTCCATGTTTGGGCAGTGCCCGTGGGTTGTACGAACATTTAACACTTACTCACTGCTGCCATTGTGAAGTGGTTCGCATCTCTAGAGCACTTACGCCTACTCAAGGAGCAATCTGTTGTGCTCTATTGTCTTATTTAAGTAAACAATAGACTAGCATACTTTCGGTTGGTTACTTCAATAGTAATGGCTTTCACCATCAGTACAACCCTCAACCGCTGTATCTCTCGCATCAGCAGACAATAGAATCCTGATTATACAGTTCTGAGTTTGAAAGAGCCTTGCTTGGTTTTTGTGAAAAGCCATGCAAACGTACAATTTTTCCTACTCTGGGGTCAGAAACATTAAAACCCAGATTTGTTTTCCTTCCATGTTCCCAGCCATATGTAAAATAATTTTGTTAGCCAAGAAAGCACCTTCGCGTCAAGGGTAGCTGTTTTTACTTTTTTATGAATTGCAATACACAACCTTGCACAAACATTGCTGTGTACTGTGTATTGAAGTCAATTGTGCACTCATTAGCCATTTCCTGAGTGCCGCCTATGCGTAAACATCACAGAAAGTTGGGTATTTTGGTTACATAGAGATTACTACAAACATCTGCGATAATGTAAGCCCAATAAGGTCTTCATATCCAAGGCTAACAGGCAATTTGTGTAAACCCGTACCAAAAAAAAGAAAAAAAAAATGTGCTGCTATTTATATTAAAAAACCTGTTTTGCTTTTTTTTTCATCTATACTTGTTTTCATCTCAAGAAACAAGCAAGTTTTGCACATTGTTCACACGCGGCACGAAGTAGTTCTTACAAGATTCGGCTGTTGGAGGAAAAAGCTATGCTTTTGGCATTTGGATCATATATGTCCTGATAAGATAACATAGTATATCTAATCTAATATTCACCCACATATATCTTGATTATCAACATAAAGGGGGAAATTAGTACTGCTCCACAAGTATCCTGTCTTTTTTTACTACGGTTTTTGAGGTGAAAATGGGTATAGACTTATCACACATAGTTGCTAAAGGTCCAAATCAGTTTGAACAATCTTGCATAAAGCTACTGCAACTGCATGAATTTTTTGCGAGAGATGACAAACCAATCACACTGTTTACAGGGTTACATTCACTTTTCTTTTTTATTTGCGCAACAGGTGACATCAGGATTGTGCCCGTTCGGTCACTTTATTGGATATAGTAACATTTTACATTAACTTGCACATCTAAATCCGCACATTTGCGCCTAATATTGCCGAAATGACGCGATTTTCAACAGCGTTTGCACACCAACTGGATGTTTGGTACCGCCCAGTCTATGAAGCAGACAATGTGCCGGATAAGAGGAAAGAAGCCTGTTTTCCTCTCTGTTCTTTTTAGTGAAATGGTCTATAATGTTGCCCAAGAAAAATCATTTGGTGTCTGTGCTAAATATTTGTTGCGGGCCAATTTCAGGAAAAACTGAGGTCCGTGGAGAAGCAACGCAGAACCGAGAATGTGGCCGCATTCACACGTGTCGTCGGAGAACCCCTGAGACGGGCCAAGCAGATAATCCTGCTCTCTGCCGACAAGTTCGGAACCGAGTTTACTCTACGTTCTTTTGTGAGCGTTCTTGCTCTTCCCTCACTTACTCCTCACTTTCTCGTTCGACTCTGCACTGTCACAGTACCATGGGCCCTTTGTTTTCGGGTAAAACCTGATATTTTTCTGTATTTACACACCGATTTTTTATTGAATTTGGAACAAAAATTTTATGATTTTAGTGTTTTTTGGCGATATAGAAATGTGGAGATCATTAACGGAATTTATTGAAAGCACGCATGACAGAAGCGCCATCCCAGACTACCGAATGCCACGCTGACCTTGCTAAGCGTTGCCAATGAAAGCTTTGATACTGAGAAACCATTCTCTCAGTTAGGATATGTCTGAAGACTGGATAGCTTTATCGGGACAAATTCTGCTCATACAGACACTTATGTTTGTCAACAAAAATTTGCTGAAAATCGAATTGACCAAATGGGCTCTTGTGCCACGTTTTAATCCGATTTTTTGCACATTAATGACTTGTTTCTGTAAATCAAACCTTCCATGACCTAAAACCAATCAATGCTTTTTGTCAATTATAGTTGTTGATCTTTATATATAATGCAGAGAGTTCCATATTAGTTTCTAGAGAATTCCTATTCCTCCCCACTTACGAGCATAAAAAATACCACCAGATTTTTACCCCCCCCCCCCCCCAATTTTTGGAAAATTTAACTCTCGACAACAAAGGGCCCTACTTATATCTAGGACAATGGTTCTCAAAACTTCTTTTTTTTTATCTTGATGAACACTCATCTCAATTAATATTCATAGTGGAGAAAGGCAGTTGAGAGGCCCACATACCTTGCAAACAATAATCCACATAGTACCAGGGATTGTTTGGCTCAAAGCTATGCATCAGTGGAGGGCTCGGATCTGCTGAAATAGTGCTGAAACTGCAGAAATGTGCACCTAGGGGCAGGAACAGCTTAAGGAACCTATTGGGATACTTTGGGGAACCCAATAGTAATTCCTCCATCAGGCACCAGGATTTTTCAGCCCTGCAGAATTGCAGTTATCAAACCTGTAGTAAGACTCGCCGATACAGTGTCAGATGGGCGTGGTGTTGACTTGATGAATGCGCAATAAGTGCAATAACCGTTGTCCGACTTTTCAGATCATGGACGTGTGCCTTCTTCAGCTTGGGGACGGAAAGCCAAAGTTCTGGCAGCAGGACCTCAAGAGGAATATTGTGAACAACTTCATGAACTCTGACCCCGAATTAAGGCAAAGGATAGACAGCATCAAGGGTTTTTGGTCGAGTGTGGTTGGCTTCTTTCTCTGGATTCTTTGGCTGATTGGATTCTGATACTTTGCGAAATTTAAGTGCGACATATTTTATTCCTTAAAGGGGCACTGACACCCCAATGGTCGTATTTATTTTTATTGTCTAAAACGATGCAAGTTGCAGCCATAGACACGCAAAAAAAACCGCATCGCGAAAAAAAATTTTCCCGCGCGCACGCGCGCCTTTTTATTTTTGGCGTTTGATTTTCCCGCCTCTCGCCTCCTCGCTTCTTTTGATCGGTGACGTCAAAAATCAGGAAATTTAGAAGCTTTGTAGGCGGCATCTTTATAACATTTAATGACGGCAATCCTAAAACATGTTTTTTAACGCAATTGCGAACGCACTACGGCCCTTCTTTTTGAAATACCAAAAATCGGGAGTTCGTTGTGGTGCCGTCTCCTGGATTTGTATCCTCCAACGGAAAACAGGCGACACCGCTCAAAACCGGTCCGCCGCAACGCCGGCGCTAGCCGGCGCTCGCTCCTTTCCTCCTCGCTTTGGGTCGCCATGGCAACAGCAGGGAGTGGTGACAGGAAAGGGGACTCTCAGGTCTCCGCAATTTTTGACGTCAAGGCACCGGCGCCGATCGCGCGGGAACTTCGAATTCGGCATTTGGAAATTGTTTTTTTACTTCACGAATACTGAATTTCCAAATTTCAAATTTTGAGGGTAATGTCCCGGCATCGTTTTCGACCGTTCCGGATAATAATAAAAAATATGATTTTTATGTGTCAGTGCCCCTTTAACATTTATGGAAGTCCCGTATCTTCAATGAAGACTTGTCTTATAGCAAGCTACTTTAGGTTTATAGTAAATGATGAACATGTTATTGATAAATGGCGGATTCTGATACTTCAAAAAATTTTAGTGCGACATATTTCCTTTTTTTAACATTTGTGGAAGTACCTTCAATGAAGACTTGTCTTATAGTAAGCTATTTTTTGGGTGACACTGTCTATAGTATATGATGCACAATGCTATCGATAGATGGCTACAATAAAGTGCAGATGTGATATCTTGATATCTCTGAGGATATGGTTTATCTGGATGTGGAAGGTCACAGTATAATGCAAAAATGATGTATAATATCCAAACTCCTTGTTTGTGGTTGTTTTTGCTCTGCAGAATTCTTTTGATCTATGCAATTTTTCTGATGTTTATGGTGGCTGGAGTTGCACCAATCAACTCTCTCATTCTGCTGATGAAATAAACGCTACATATTTGATTATCTTGTGAAAAGGCTCGAAATACACCTAAGCACTTCTTATGAGTTTTGAATGCAAAAGCATGAATGCCGTTCTTCATGCCGCGGCTGCTTCTGATCCTCTCGGCACCGAAGCTGCTTCTGACCCTTTCGGCGCTGTGTGCCCGCGCCGGAGCAGGAACGGCTTAAGGTGCTGAGAGGATCAGTGGGCGCCTTGACCGTTTCTGCTCCGGTGCGGGCACGCAGCGCCATGGGGTTACTCTAATTGAAACTGATGCATGGCAGCTTCATAGCACTGCCGTTTTGCATGGCTTTTGCATGGTTTCAAAGCTGAAATACCTCAAATTGCGGCTTTGGCAATTTATCTGCCGTTTGGCGTCATCAAACGTCAGCTCGCTCCACAAAACAGTTAATGCTTTTGCATTAAAAAAAATGAATCCTGAAAGCTACGAGGCTGCTGATATTGGCCTCAAGTACTACAGTCACGATAATCCATTCACCCTGAAGTTGACAATACGGTCGAAGCTGTTCGCTCATTACGCCAGTCTCATCTTCGGCCTATGATCACGCCCACTCCCATACCCATGCGCAGGGAGCAAGGTTGGGTGATGATTGGTTCGGTGGGCGTGTAGCTCCCACCCTGCCATCAGCTCGGGGGTGTGCGAAGCATAGTGTGTAGGCACATTGTTTTTGTTTATCCACTGTCCCCTGCGCTCACACAGCAGGTAAGGACCAGGCATCCACAACGCTTAAACAGAACGCAGGGAACCATAGGACTGCAAGCTTATAGTCCACGAAAACTGCCTCTATTGATGAGCTTTACTTACAGAACCAGTGTCTCCCAAGGCAATGACCTCGTGCCTGTAACTTTCATGGGCTGCAAGCTAAGTTATGACAGACTGTAGTGTCGCTGCACCAAAGTGCGTATGGAGGTCGAACCTTGCAGCATCTACTATTCAGAAAATTGTCGATGCTAAACTCTTGAGCGTTGGAGGCTACTTCCATGGTGCAAGCTCCTACATAGGGTAAGACCCTCCAAGGATATCGTCACACACACATACTTTCTTGTGCGCTACTAACTAATGGGGAATTCCCTCGGTGGATTCGGAGCGGTCCAAAAGTGCTACATGCTCGAGTGTTTAGAGCAGTTAATGCTACAGCACACTTGCACACCCACTTCCCTGAGGGAATTCCCCATAAGGAAGCATAGTTCTGTTCATCACTAAAGCCTGTGGACAGTAGAATCTCAGACTATGGGCCTCTAGCACAAAAGTTGAATGATAAAAGCTGTGCAATGTCGCAGCAATTTAGCAGCTACTTCAATGGTTTACACCAATTCAGTCATTCGATTGCTGCACCTTTTACGCCAAACTGCACCAAAGGGCTTGCCCTACTACATACTGCTAGATTTAGCCCAAATGTGAGGAACTTGCTCCAACATTGCACCAAAACTTGATTTTGCTTTATTAATATTGAAGATATAAGGGCTCGGGCACTGCTACATGTCCAAATTGTTATGGTAGACTTGTGTGAATGTTCATAACTTTCGATTTTAGCTGCAAATAACCTACCAGCCTATTTTATCTCTCTGTCAGTGTCAAACACTGACGGTACTCATACTTTTTGCAATTTCTTATGTTCCCAGTCTGCTCAGGAGTGTATGTTAGCTTTCTTGAGTGCGCTTCTCATCGCGCTCTTGTGTACTGCGGTGAAGCTGCAACTGCAAAGTAAGCATTGCAGTTTTGCTAATCTTGCTTTGCCGCAGCGCATCAGAGTGCTAAAGGGAAAGCTTTCCCTCCGAGCGGGACGTTAAACATGCAAGCGTCGGACATGTATTAAAAAAGAAACTTCAATAGTGTTAATGTAATGGCTCTTAGTTGCAGTAAAATATTCTGAATTAACCTGCAGCTATTATTATTCTGGCGATATCTTTTTTCAGAATTGGGATATAGCAAGGGTACTCGCAGGAAAATTTACATGAACTGCTCTATAGGTTTATTTTAACTCCCTTTGTTTTTGTAGTGGTGCACAGTGGTACAAATAAAAATGAAGTGTGCACTTGTGCTCCAAAAGTGTTCTTTGCTGCTCCATAATAAACTTTTGGCTGCTACAAAATGACTGGTCAAGTGTATCATTGCAAATGTCAAAATGGCTCCAACCAGCATCCAACAAATTATGGTGTGTTCCAATACTTTCATTATACTGGTGTAGCTTTGGGACCTTTTTTTTTTTTTTTACCACCCGAAGAGTGCACAAACATTGCCAGAGGTGGCACTGTCATGCGATGTGTGGCAGTGCTACCTGAATGCCCATGGACTATTCCAATTGCAAAAAAGTGAAGTGGCCTGCCAAAGCCAGTCTGCAGGCATGATCCCTCTACCTTGGCCAAGGAGGAAGCATGCCTGAAGTGAATGAACACCTAAGGTCAATGACAGGTCAAGAACAAAGTGAAAGCTCCTGCCACCTCTTTCCACTTCAGTAGTGCAAACGCTGGAGAAAAGTAGACGTCCTTCCCACTGTTTGCTTTGCTGAGGTGGAAACGGGTGGGAGTAGCTTTCACTTTGTTTTTGACCAGTTTTAGACTTTAGAAGGGTATGAACCAAAAATACTGTGTGTTTGGGGGAAAAGGAGACAATGTCTCACCACAAAAATAAAGTATGCATTGCAGAATGCTCAGTCTTTGCCCAAATGTAATACCAGATGCAAAAGTTTCAGAAATCGCAGATATCAGATTAAAAAGTTGCAAGGCGATTTTCGGAAAGTTGAAATGGGGCCCGTTCCAGTTAGCAGACACCATTAAGTCCATGTATACCATATACGCAACCATTTATGTCATGTAAATTGACAAATCTTGAATAAGCAAGTTCCAAACTGACATCTGTTCCCAACAGCTAGCACACAATTTGACAGGGACTGAGCATTTTGCAATCTGTAGCCCCCTTTTTTTTTTTTTTTTTTTTTTTTTTTTTTCTACTTAGAAACAAGCCGTCTTTAATGACTATTTTTGCAGGCTCAATATTTTGCAAATTCAGCGAAGTGTGGTTTTCGGGAATATTTTGCGGGCAACAATTTTGCAAATTGGGGTGGTAAGCTACTTATTTAAAAACAACTCGTGAAAGTTGGGTGCTTGTGAAAAGTCATTTACAGTATTCCCAAAAAGAAACCAGTACCCTGCTGCGACTATTATAGGCGAGAACCAAATTAACAACCTACAAGCCAGATATTTTCACAAGAGCAAGGTGAACCAGTATTTGTAGGAAAGGTTCTTTGTATTGGTGCATGTTTGTTAGTTTGCTATTGGCCTCCAGTGGGAGATTAAATTTCCTCACTATGGAACTCCACCCAGCACAGTATTTATCCCATAAAATTAAACAGATGTAAATATAACATTAGACTTCCACCAGGTCACCAAATGACATTTCATACTAATGGGAGTGAAATTGTGCTACTACACAGGTCATGTAGACACTTATAGCTCAAAACCTAAACTCTTCACATCCAGCACGCAGGATTTGCAAAAGGAGGAGCCATTATTTAATAGAAACACTTTTATTTGACACCCAGCCCCCTCCCACTCATGGAGAAAGCCCACCCAGTAGAAGACATCTGTATAACTTAAGTTACTACAACGAAAAAAAAAAACACAGAAAGAATTGTTTTTGTACAGAGAATGATCATGGTAAATAGGTCCAAGAACACTCAACCAGCCAAAAGGCAGGCAGCAGCAGCACTGTAGAGGTGGTGAAATGATGAGCTCATGATCGTAACAGATGACTTGTGATAATGCTGCTGCCCCATGCCTCTCGCTGTACCCAAGAGATCTGGCCTTGTTTTTACAACTCGTCCTTTGTAGAGTCATCTTTGTCCGTCGGCGGTGGGGTGCCTCCTGCAGGGTACAGCTTGGCTACAATCGGCTGCACAGTATCAGCCAGCTGTTTCTTCTGTTCCTTGAGTTCTTCCGCATCAGCGTCACTGTGCTGCTCCAGCCATTTGATTTTCTCGTCCACAGCTTGCTCAATAGTCTTCTTGTCCTCGTCGGAGAGCTTGCCTCCCATCTTCTCCTTGTCTCCAATCTGGTTCTTGAGGGAGTAGGCATAAGACTCCAGTTCGTTGCGGGCCTCCACCTTCTCCTTGACCTTCTTGTCCTCGTCGGCAAACTTTTCGGCGTCCTTTACCATCCTCTCGATGTCCTCAGGCGTCAGCCTGTTCTGGTCATTGTTGATGGTGATCTTCTGCTTGTTGCCTGTACCCTTGTCCTCTGCACTGACCCGCAGGATACCGTTGACGTCAATCTCGAAGGTCACCTCGATTTGGGGCACACCTCGAGGAGCAGGTGGGATGCCAGTCAGGTCGAACTTGCCCAGCTGGTGGTTGTCCTTTGTCAGGGGACGCTCCCCCTCAAAGACCTGGATGGTGACAGTGCTCTGCTCGTCCGAGGCCGTGGAGAAGATCTGAGACTTCTTCGTGGGGATGACTGTGTTACGGGGGATCAGTTTCGTCATGACGCCTCCCACTGTCTCGATGCCGAGGGTCAGAGGGTTCACGTCCAACAGCACGAGGTCCCCAGTGTCTTCCTCTCCGCCGAGGACTCCAGCCTGCACGGCGGCACCGTAGGCGACTGCTTCGTCGGGGTTGATGCCACGGGTGGGTTCCTTGCCATTGAAGAACTCCTTGACCAGCTGTTGAACCTTGGGGATCCTGGTGGAACCTCCGACAAGCACAATCTCGTCCACATCAGTCTTCTTGAGGTCACCATCCTCGAGTACCTGTGCACAGCAAGAAAGGAAAATATCAACAGCTGCCCTTTCCCAAAGCTGTTACCAAGAAGTGACAAGGCAATTTTCACGTCCTCTGCACTTATGGTGCATACTTGTTGAGGAAAGTACTAGTCTGTTGCAACTCAAGAAGGTAGGGCGAGGGAAAGCAGGCAAAATGCTGGAGAGGTGGTTTCTCCCTGTCCTCTCCAGCATTCCAACTGCTCCTCCTCCCCAGCCTTCTTTCCCTTGCCCTACCCTTCTTGAGCTGTAACCTACTATATAAGGATAAACCTAGCATCGACGGGTCATGGAAGTTAAAGGGACGCTGAACCGAAATCTGGATTCACAAAACAAAGCGGCAAAAGCGTGCAACGGGATGCTACAAACACCAAAACGTCACTCATACAGTGATATCTTGAACAAATGACTGTATTAAAAAAAAAAAAAAAAAAAGCACATTTGACAGATACGTTTAAGCCTTGTTTCTCCAAGAAGGAGAGGGAATCGCCTCGTGTCTTCTCCGCCTCACCACCTGGAGGGGGCGAAACGAAGAGGAGGAAACAAGATATCTTTACGTCACGCGCCTCGTTGGCCTGGTTCAATCTCGACCTCATTTTCCAAAAATATGGCCGTCCATTCAAGATATCACCTCAAGAGTAGTGTTGTAGAGATTGTAGCGTCCCGCCTACATCTCCTGCATTGTTCTTTGGAAATCCAAATTTCGGTTGACTATCCCTTTAAGTACACACATTATGTAGTCGGAGGGATGTAGTCAAAAAGATGGTGCGATTACATCAATATATAGTCACGTTTTCATGTATACTTGACAAGCCTCAGACTTGGCAGCTAATGTTTTGCTAAGAGACTTAGCTTAACTAGCTTGAGCCTCCCCAAGAGATCTCTTGCAGTTATCTTCTACGACACTCGTCTTTCGTTTATAGCCCGATGTATTAAAACAGTGCACTAAGGTTTGCTACTTTTCATCCACTACTGCCTCAATGAAACAGGTTTGGTGGCTTTGCAGCCCCAATAATGCTTTTGGACTGACTGAGCTAGGCTTACCTTCTGAACAGGCTTCATGGTGGAACGGAAAAGGTCCATGTTCAGCTCCTCAAACTTAGCACGAGTCAGGGTCTCACTGAAGTCCTCTCCCTCGAAGAACGATTCAATCTCGATCCTGGCCTGGTGAGCAGTGGACAGGGTCCTCTTTGCCTTCTCAACCTCCCGACGCAGCTTCTGCACGGCGCGGTTGTCCTTGCGCACATCCTTACCGGTCTTCTTTTTGTACAGCTTGATGAAGTGCTCCATCACACGCTGGTCAAAGTCCTCACCACCTGAAAATGACAAAAAGCACTTGTTAATACACAAGTTACACCTCTATAAACAGAAAACTGAAATTAATACAAAACAAAAAAAGCTCAATAAATTATTGGTAGAAGTGCCTTAATGGACACTGATGTAAAGGGTAGGAAACATAAGACTGCCCATTTAGATGTTAATAGCCCTGCATCCACTTATATTTGTCACCTATGCACATGCCAAATCATCAGCAACCCTACACCAAGTTGCTGCACCAATCCTCACGACTATCTATACTCTACTTCAAAGTAGAAGTGTAGCAGAAGCTACTATAAGAGTGAGCCTTGCACTTTCAGCGTCCCTGCCAAGCACTCGTAGATTGAAAGCATCATTTATGACAACATGCTTTTGCTTATAACTTTGGCTTCACAACAGAAAGTGAAACAAACTACAGAAGACCTAACAAGTGCACTTACCAAGATGAGTGTCACCATTGGTAGAGACAACCTCAAAGACGCCGTTGTCGATGGTGAGAAGGGACACGTCGAAGGTTCCTCCTCCCAAGTCGAAGACAAGAATGTTCTTCTCGCCCTCTTTCTTGTCCAGACCGTAGGCAATGGCAGCAGCTGTGGGTTCGTTGATGATACGCATCACATTGAGACCAGCAATGGTTCCGGCATCCTTGGTGGCTTGACGCTGGGCGTCGTTGAAGTAGGCTGGCACGGTCACGACAGCGTGGGTCACCTTCTTGCCCAGGTAGGCTTCAGCAGTTTCCTTCATCTTGGTCAACACCATGGCAGAGATCTCTTCAGGGGCGAAAACCTTTTTGCCCTCCTTGCCAGCATTCACCTGTGCAAGAGAGAAATAAAAGTGAAATTAACATAGGCAGCTAGTAGAACCAGACGCAGCTATTTGACCAGCAACTCAGTTACAGGAATTCGAAGGAAACGAGATCATTATCTCAGCTGTGATCTCTGCTTTTCCCATAGCTGGGGTTAAAGTTCCCTCATCTACCCTATTGAACTAGAATAACCGTGCTTCGGATGCTCACTTTTGAAGACTGCTCTTTTGCATTGAATGGCATTCATTTGACTGAATATCTCTTAACTATTATGCACTGCCATGGGGGAAAGGAGAGGCTTCAGGAATTTTATAACCTACCTCAATGTGAGGCTTGCTGTTCTTGTCCTTCACTGTGAACGGGAAGTACTTGAGGTCATGCTGCACGGAGGGATCCGTCCACTCGCGCCCAATGAGACGCTTGGCATCAAACACTGTGTTCTCTGGGTTGCTGGTCAGCTGGTTCTTGGCAGCATCACCAATCAACCGCTCTCCCTCGGCAGTGAAGGCCACGTAAGATGGCGTGATACGGTTTCCTTGGTCGTTAGCGATGATCTCCACACGCCCATTCTTGAAAACTCCGACGCTAAGGGGGAAATTATAAGGGGCGGTCAAGCTGTGTCGGGACTTTATTACCCTTTTTTTTTTAACTTTGAGGAAATAAATGCAGGGACAGAAGGGTGTGGGCTTCTCATTAAAATATTTTGTAAAATTGCTTCAAAATTTCGATTTGGGAAATGTATCTAGTTGAAAGATTTGCATCCAAGCTTTACAGCTGGGGTACCTTCGATAAAGTTTAAGCATTCTGTAGCGAGAGCTTTATCTATGCACTGCAGAAAACCCCTGAATGTCAGGCAGATTAGACACATCCTCACATGGCAATAAAACCCCTAAATGATACATGCTGCCTGGATGAGAACTTGTTCCACCAAGTCAACATATGGTACCATCGAAACTAACTATAATACAATTCTGCGACATTAACAGAAAAGACCGGCAGTGGCATGCGCCCTCCCCCATACGTAGGGCAATGCTATGTTGTTTGCTGTCATCACACCGCTAAAACGACATTCGACACCTGGGCAGCACGAAGGGTCGCAACTTTGTAAAGTCGAGTGCATACACCTGCAGATTGCGCAGGCGACTAGACATTTATCAGAAAAACTTACCAAGAATACGTCGTTCCAAGATCGATACCGATGACTGTGCCGACATTATCCTTGTCCTTGGACTCTGAGTCCTTCTTGGCGCCGACGATAGCGACAAGCAGCGCTGCCGCTAGACACCACACGATTTTGTGCATCTTAGGAGGGGCCTGAAAATAAGATCACGGGACGCAATTAAGCATCAGGCGATCAGGTCCATCAGGCCGCGAACGAAACCGGCTTCGCTACAAAGGTCACGCCGGTGCCTGGAGCGGCACGGCCCAGCGGCTGCGCCACGTAAAGAAGACGCTGCTCCAGATAACGGCTCAAATGCGCGTTATGACAGAAAATCCCCAGAACTCTTAAACTTAACTAAGCAGGCAGCTGCGAAAGAACTTTGGTGGGACGGCAACCAACAGCTTTCTCGAAGTACACGTCACGCCTCGCCTCAACGCACACCGTGGTTCCCATGGTGTGGTTATTTGACGGGAGAGTTGTTACAGCAGACTGGAGTAGATGAAGTTGCACATTACAGCTATCCACGGTTGATTCAAACCCTCGGCTTGAATCAGCTTGAGGTCATCTGCGAATTAACAAAGTTCTCTAGTCCGCGGGTCTACCTCGCCCGTTACTAAAAAAATGACGAAAGCAAAGCTGGAACTCCATTAACTCGTACACCACTAGCCGCAGTAGAATTTATACGGGTACTAACAAAGCTAACACCTCAAATCTGTCAGAATCTGTCGGAGAATAGGCATGTCCGGCAAACCCGCACCTCGCCGGCGGTAGCGAAGCTGAATGAGACAAAACGGCCGAGGACGCCAACAAGCGTCTTTTGAAGGGAATGAATATGCGTTCATACGTACGATTTGCTTGGAAAACGCCGAAGAGATGTGGACAGTGGATACCCAGTAGACCAAAACTGACTGAGAGCACGACTCAACCCACTTTGATCAACACGTATGACAGGCTGGAATTACAATGAACGCATGTGGTATAAGAAGTGCGAGTCTCGTCGTGTCGAAACCCCATTGGTCCGATGAAAAAACCACCGGCTCTCTGATTGGTCGAGCCGGGAGCACGTGGTACTTCCAGTAAGCGACACGTAGCATGAAACATAAGGACACGTAATATTTCGGTCACACACATTTGCAAGCATATGTTTGCTAGAGCTAGAGTGAAATTTGTAGCTATTATTGCGTGATATTTGACATTTGTATGCAGATTTTTTATTTTTTTTTTAGTTTAAATGCTCTTGGCGTTTTGTGTTTTGTTTTTAGCGTTGTCGGCTGTGCCGTTCTACCTTTTCCAGGTGCATCCAAAGGAAAATAAACCAAACCGGCTTGGCATAAGAGGGAAAACAATTTTTTTTAAACATTTCTTTTCCTGTTATGTCAAGGGGTTGTGCCTATTTTTCTTGCGATGTCTCCCAGTCTTTGGAATATTTTTTACAATGTTTCTTCCGTGTTTTTTTCCGAACGTCGAACCTTATCAATTATCAACTCTGCCGCTGATGACGACGAAGTCGAACGACTTTAGTATAGTAACGCTTCGATGGCATGACCAGGAGTGACGTTCATGTCCGTCAAAACTTCAAAACTTGCCTGCTTAAAAAAAAAAAAAGTTTACAAGCGTTACAAGCACCACCATGCTGCATTGAACTACACGAGTACGCGCGCGCGCTCGTCAGGCAAGGGAAGCTGCAGTCGCAGGCTCGCCCTTGTAACCACTTCTGTGCCCATAGTACTGTTTAGTTTTTCTTTCAGCAGGATCAATTCCTGTATAATACAAAGGGCACGCACTGTCAATTCAGCTACTGAAGGAGCCTGAAGACATGCTAACGTTCAAATAATCAAGGGTCGTCTTTGACGCGGCTAAGCAGGTGTTTATCTATCACGTGCCTTAATTGCAGATCAACGTTAAAATCGTAAAAATAACAAAACTATTGTGACTAAACTACTAAACTTCTCGTGTATATGTGACAGGGACCTCGTTAATTTTGGCAAGCTGAAATAACTAAATTAACCATAATTTAATAACACAATCTGGACCCGTGAAGATTCTCGGCCATGTAGAGTCAGACGAGTCGGACAACTACAAGAACAAAATAAACGAGCGCACTTATCAATCCACTAGCCAAGCTAAGCCAACCTGAAAACATAAAAAGCTCTGCCGGTGTAAAAAAATTCCTAATTTCTTCGCATCTCGGCGTCGTCGGTCGCAGTTACTCGTTCAATTCCGAGTTGCTTTGTTGAGTTCGCAAGTGACCATTTTTATACCAAAGCTTGTAATCGGTTTTGCAGTTCGTTTTGTGACTTGACGCTTGTTTGTTTAGTGAAGCCAAGAAAGAGGTGAGTTATTCCCCACATTTCCCGCTCCATTCTAACCACGTCGAAATTCGTGTTCGATTATACCCCCTGTAGCACATCCTGGGCACAAATAACGTTACATATTTGAAGAATTACCGTTTCTCAGTACGTTGTTCAAAATATTTAAAGGTCAGTGGCTTATTTTAAGGCTGATTGCAGTAGATTGAAAATCTGAAAATTGTGTTGCATTCAATCTGCATGCACACGTGTGTGCATTGTAGTCACCCATGATGAAAGCTTTTGTCGTTTCTGACCTTCATGATGACAGGAACGTATTAGCTCTAACTGAATCTTTGTGTCTGTGGCTGCCAAGTGCTGTCCGCTCGTCAAGTTTTGCTCACGAAATCTTGTCTCCGATTGCAGCGATGGCGAAGGTGTACCGGGGATCGTCGCATCGCAGCTCTTGCACGGTAAAGCTCCGAGACAAATGCCTTTATTGAGTTCAGCCGAAATAGCTTGACACGTGATGAAATCATGTGGGAATCTATTTGATTGCCGTGATATTACAACTATACATTATCTGATTTATGTTGCTTGTGTGTTGAACACTCCTTTTGAGGTTGTGTATTGTGCTAACTAGCTCTACGAATTTGCAGTGCCTCGAGCTTGACCGGACCTACAAGCGATTTGCTGAAGAGTTTGGATGAATTGGTGAGTTGTGACCGCTGTTCTTTGTCTGGTGAATGTAATGATGTGAAATTTGAACTCTCTCACTGAAGTTTATCTGTGGACAACCAAAAGTCTGACTACTGTGCATTGGAATTTCTTTAAATTTATTTCTATTTGAGGCAGCATTTTAATCAATGTTCTTCCTTTTCAGGGGATGCACTTTTCTTGCTACAGTGCGATCTCTGAGGTATGCTTCTTGCCAATTCGTTCCCTCTTCCTTTTGAATGATGATTGCATAGTTCAGCTGATTGCCCCTGACGACTTTGCTAGCTAAAGTCTTTCGCTCCTATCTGATCCAATCTTAAGCTAGCCTTGCAGTCTTGTGGGGTTTCCTTTGCTAAACCTCTCATTTTTTTTTTTCTAATAGCCATACTTCAGCCTGCATGGAAACTGCTGCCAGACCTGCATCACTTGCATAACCAGGTGTGTAGGAAGTGTTTGGTAATAATTGTTCCCTGCTCCTGATGATCGCATAGTTCAGCAGATTTGGCTCTGACGATTATGCATCTTGTCTTTCGCTCCTATCTGATATTTGTGTCCTTTGTTGCAACTTGTGCCCTTCGTAGTTCCCTGTCTAATGTTGTCAGCTTTTTCAGGTACTTTCCAATCGTCTGGCTCGGATAATGTAAGTAATACTTTTTTTGTTCTATCTCGCTTAACTTATGATGATTTATTTGCTACTTCAGAGTGCTTGTGAAGAAACTTGCTGCTGAGCTAAGCTCATCTTGTACAAAAAGGATTTCTGTAATCTTGTCATTAATGACTGCTTTTCGTTTTAGGTTGGACTCTGATTCCAGTAAGGAAAGCTCCAAAGTTTGGGAGCTGCCTCTGCAATGGTACGTTGCTGTTGCATAGTTTTTTCCTTTTTTGGTTCTTTCCTTTGATGACAAACCCCTCCAATGTTGATATCTGTGAGAACATCACCAAGATCTCTGATTTTGTATTGCATGTTAGTCTTCTGTCTTTTTGTGTGTTTGTTACTTATGGATCATTCTTTCTTTCAAGGTATTAGGTTTCCTGTCCCCTGTGCTTTAAGCAAGGTAGGTTCCACATTGATTTCTTTGTATTTTTGCATATGATGCAGACCTACTCCAATATTGATTTCCTGATACAATCACCAAGATCTCTGACATTCTTCTGATGTTCTCTTCCATGTTTGCTCATTATTTGTTGTGCTGATATGCTTCCATTTTCCCTCAGGATTGGATCACGGCCAAGTGTGGCCAGGTATGAGGCTCCCATAAAGAACCCAGAGACTAAGGTAAGTTGTCAACTTAGTTTTAACTCTCTTTACAATTAAATGATGCCAAGTATTTGCTACTCCGATATTGTGTTGGGGATACATGTTGTTTCTGATGTTCTGTGTTCCCCTTTATTTCTACTGTACTTTTTTCTGTGCTGATTTTTGCTCTTCTTTTTAGGTCCGTTGCAACTGCTGTTCTTTTTCATGCCAGGTGAGGAGGCTTGTATACTAATGCTAGTTTTCAAGTGTGTCTCTCCTGATGAAGTTCCAGATAGGGACAACTGAATCCTTGTGATTGTACTTGCAGTTCTGTGTTCTGATACTCTGGCTGGCTCACTAGCAACTTTCTTGTCTTATGCAGTCTTTGATCATGTCTGTATTTTCCTTTCAGAGTTCTTCCCTCAAGCTGGTTCACTGAATAAAATTATTTTCTATTGACCTTTGTCTTCTCATGCAGTTTTGTTTGCCGAATATACACGTGCCAACTGCGCCTGTGCCCTGCACATCCAAATAAACATTTCCAAGTTTTTTTTTTTTTTTTTTTTTTTTAGTGGGTGCCAGTTATGTGCTAGGGAATTCTGTTCCAAGAGCTTGGGTTTGACAGGTTGAAAATTTGCAGTGGTGGAATTGCTGCAAACAAAATGTCCCATAAAAACTGCAAAAGTTTTTTTTTTTTTTTTTTTTTTTTTTTTGCTTCCTTTTTTTTTTTTTTTTCTTCCCGATTTGTGTTGCACTTGGGCCCAGATGGGCTTGCACTGCAACCTGATCTGTAATGGACCTTTTCCGAGAAGCGTTCTGTGCTTGTGCGAGCACCCGATGCCAAGTGGCAGAAGTCAATGAAAAGTCGAAATTTGGAAGGAGGCTGTGGATGGGCGAGTAGATGTAATTCCAGTATATATATAATTGTGTTGCACAAAAAAAGAAAGTGGACGGAACGAAAAATGCGACTTTTCGGTGGGCGCCAAGGATTCCCCCCTTTAGTCATGTTGGGCATGTGCTGCAGCTCTGAGAACTAAGAAACTGGTAGTGTAGCTTCGATTATCAATTGTTCGTGCGGAGGGTTTTAATTTGTGCAGCCACTGCCTGGTGCCATCAGTTTCTGGAAAAGGTCGCACTCTGGAAAGGTCCTGGATGTACGCTGCAGTTGAGGATTCCAGCGTTGCGAAGGCCTTCAATGACCAGCTTTAGCTTGCGGTATGGCGGCGCAAAGTGGCTCCCGTTCTGGACTGATCTTTACCTTGCGTTTGCTGTCATTTGTGGCCAATGAAGTGTCGTGCCGAATTTGAGCTTAATCGCGCAGCAAATACAAACAATGCGAGCTGCCCTGGCTGCTGCTTCATACAGCCTATCCAGAACATGCTTTAGTGGCGCCCCCTCGAGCCGTTGAGTGCGGCAGCCGTGAGCGCCCGTTGAGCTCGCTACTCCTCCTCTACTCCACGGCCACTCAAGCAACCAATGACGTCATGAAGGAGGTTATTTTTTGCTTGTTTATGTAATTTGAATTTGCCTATAACTTTTCAAATAAAGTAAAATTTTAGAAAAGTTTCATTCAGTTACTACGTTCAGTGCGCTCATGGTTGGTGCAAATTAAGAACCAGTAAAGTCCTTGCAGGGCCCCCTTAAGGTGATGACTCCCAAAAAAATTAGATGTCATGGTTTCAATTTTTGCTGTTAGTTCAGCTTGCACCCTTATCCTCTGAAAAATTGCAAAATAGTGGGATGATGGCTACTGTGATAAGACGACCTATGCGATTACTTCATTATGCCTGCTACATGCTTCTGCTGTGGCTACAATGTACTGTGGCTAGGTTGTGCAACTGGTATTCAGTACATCCTACCATTCTAGCACATCCTATTGTGGCACTTGAGCCACTCTCATCAACCTTCACCAGCTTGCTCAGTGTGCGTTATGCTTCATTGCTTTTGCACAGGAGTGCTAGGAGCAGTGGCTGACATAGGGGCGAGATTGACACAAAAATTCGCTACAAGAACTTCAAATAAAAATAAGCACAGCGAACTTCGACTAAACTCCGGCTCCAAAGTCACTAAAGTAGTTACTTTTAATGCGAAAGCATTAACTGGTCCCATGGAGTGAGCCGACATCATCAGTTTGAAGCACGCCATATGGCACCTTAAATCCTTTTTCCAAGTGAAGCCAGCTCCCAGTTTTGAAACCACATGAAAAGCCTAGACAACGGCACCTAGTTTCTCCGATCCCAAAGGAGCGGAGTAAAGCTGATGGATTTCGGCTTCGGTCCCATTGGCTGGCACGTGTCGACGAGGCTCTCATTGGCCGCTGTGCATCATTTTCAACGACCTCCACCCCATGGCACTGCGTGTCTGCAAGGCAGCAGCTCCACGCCCATGTTCAGCGCGTGTGCTCGACTGTCAGCACAAGTATGAAGCAGATGACAGAAGGGAGAGGAGTGTGCATGATTTCACATTCACAACTCGTAAGAAGTGCTTAGGTGCACCTCGAACCTTTTTAAAGCACAACTGTAGATATTTTGTTGGCATTTTACGGTGATTATCTTCATAAGCTAAATAAGCTATCGTGTAAAAGGGGAAGGTGGTAGGCTTCATTTTCAACTTTTTTTTGTAATACCAATTGTAAGACGAATCTAGTCTGACCTGAGCCTTCTTTCTAAAAAGAAGGCCGTGTGTTCCATTTAGCGATGCAATCACTTTTTTCCATTTTCAAGTGATGAGCAAATAGATGTCGGCGTCTGCTCCAAACCAATATTTTGCCTGCTACAAAGTTCAAATGCCGCTTCCAATCACTGCAGTTGTGTTGCTTGCGAGTGACTGAAATGAACAAGTCATCAGGAGAAGTGTTCATTGAACACAATGTGCCAAGCGATGAGACAAGTAGCCTCATGAAGCAATCGTGAGTTCTGGTTGTCTAGCGTTTAATATAGTGTATTTAGCCTCCAATGAGCCCGCTGGCCCGGCAAAACAAATGAATATGAAAATGGCTTTCTGAAAAATGTCTTATTATAATTTAATGTATTGTTTCTTGAATTTTTTTCCTCCCATTTTCCTCCTTTCTGCAGAAGTAGTATCCAATAGGTGTCGTCAGCAATTCATAGGTATTTGAATTTTGGGTTAGGTTTGCTTTAGTGTTTGAACCTCTAATGCACAAGTATTGTATACTTTTTTGAAAAACAGCGCGAATAACAGACGGACAAGCAGGTAAGAACACACAGGAGGAGGCGCTGTTTTTCAATGCCTCATCCTGTGTGTTCTCTCCTTGTCCGTCTGTTATTCGTGCTGTTTTTCAAAATGGATTTATACCAACTCTCCCAACTTTCCTTTGTATACTTTGCCTGCTCGCACTTCATTTCTGTCACTGAACTATTTTTGTGTAGGGCCCTCAATATTCTGAGGAACAAGATTTTATGATTTAGACTGATATGCTATGTATTTGTTATTATGGCATGATGTATTCACAGGGTCAAATTTTTGCAACATTTTTGAAGTTGTGCATATCGCGAAAATTAACTTTACAGTAGTCTCGTCAAAACTGAAATTACCGATTGCCTCTCCACACCTGAAAAGGTGTACGACCCGTCTGCCCAAGCACTCCTTTGTTTAGCGTGTTTGCAATGCTAATCCACTCTTGCACTTCTGTGCATGATCAAACTTTGACCTTGTGTGGGAAACTGCATAATCGAAGAAGATACCGGTCCAATAACCCTCGCCTTTCCAACTAACAACTTCATACCTAATATTTATGTATATCGTGAACAACAACATTTTGATCCTTAAATTCACACTCCATTCCTTTAACCTTCTTCAGCTCTTCCCACTCCCAAAGCCGGATAGCAACCTGCCCATTTGAGGAGGCCCATATTTCCCACAACATTCCCAAACATCGAGGCAGGATGACAAGTGAAACAGAAAAACAAGAAAAAACGTAAAATGGTATCCATGGTTTCATGCGCCACAATCACCCACAATACTTGGCAAGGAGGATGACTTTAACTAGTGAGCGAATTGTTTTCTTCATTCACATATGTGCAGGAAAGAATAATGAATTTCCAGATATAATTACATTGGGCCTTGTTTCATAATAGTTGGTTTCTTTTTTTTTTTTTCTCCAGTATATTTCATGATATACAAATTTCTCTTCCTCATCCAGTCATGCTGCCCAATCAGTATTCACACCTCAGTGGGCAGAAGTGATTTTTCTGCCCATCAATTCGGATGTCTGCCAGCATTTATTTTTTTTTGTTATAACAATGTGCCAGACCATTGTGCTGTGCTCGGTGAACTCATACAGGACTGCAAATGGGTACAGATCCCTGCCATCTCTAGTACAATGGGCATGGGAAGGTACGGCTGCCTGCTGGAAAAAGAAAGGTCGAAACACCCTTCTTTCTCGGGTAGTTGTACAATGTTCAACTCTAAAACATTTTCTGGCAAAAGTCTCATTCCGATACTTGTGTAACTCTGCATGTCCTAAGTGTTGCCTTCCTGTTCAGATCCTAATTCCCAATACATCACAGCTGCTATCCTCGAAGAAGTTTATTTACTCTTGCCTTCCTCGATATAAGTGGCATCAAAACATAAATTGCAGTTGTAATATTTTCCCTATTTCACTCAACTTTATATAAAAAAATTGGGGATAGGTGGGTAGCCCTAATTATATTGATGGTTGTTCTATTGTTGTACCTTTGGAAAAAACCTAATTAAAGTCATGTCTAAACTATACCTCTTCTGCTGGACCCAATCTTTTTCTAACTTGCAACACCAACTCTTAATACAAAAAAATTATCCACATAGGTCTCACTCATCATTGCTACTTCTATAGATTGAGTTATAATGAATAATTGAAACTGTGGCCTTCTATCCCTTCAAAAATCATTTTAGGGTTTTCCTAGAATTTGCATACTTTGTACCCACTATATAGTTTTCACAGATGGGGAAAATGCTCTGAAAACAGCGTGTGCAAGTGTTTATTTTGGCACTGCAGATCTGTTCCATATAGACATGGAGATAGGTGGCAGACATATAATCATTTCAGGACACCAGCCTTCTTCAAAAGAGGTTCTAGAGCCTCGTCTTGGTGCATCTTCTTGACGTCGGTACCGCCTCCAATGCACTGCTTGCCGACAAACACCCTTGGGACCTGGATTGACACACAATTTCGGCATTTCGTCCACTTTTAGCTTCGACAAAGTAGCTTACCGTCGCTGCTCCCGTCATTTCCCTCAGCACCTCTTGGATTTCGTCGGCATCCGGCCGATCATCCAGTTCAACCGTAAGGAAGGGAGCCTTGACGTTGTTGAACACCTGTAAAATCGGTGTTCGTGTAAAAGTTTCTCACCACTAGAAAGTACTCTGAGCTGAAATTAAATTAAATTGCAAATCGGTACACCCTCAAACAACATGAATGAACAATCCATTAGACGGGACAGTTTTAGGAAGCATTGCAGGATTCTTTGGCCGGGCCCAAACAGACCATTCCGGAAATATGAAGCGCCTAGCTCCCATCGTCTTTTCGACGCGCTGCGACAATCTGATATACGGCTAGTGAAAGAGTACTCATAAAAAAAAAAGCAGCTCATGTCTTTTTTTTTTTTGTTATTATTTTTGTAGTGTTCAGCCAGAATAAACATTTCTAATCACATATCCACCTGGCTTCTGGAATAGTTTTGCATTTGTTGAGCATTTCACGAATGCAAGAAAAGCGTGACTAACAAAATAGGGTGCGTGTCGGCTTTGTGATGCATTCTCTTTGTTTTTGTTGTGATCACAGTGGCAAGAGAGAAGGAATTCAGCCACTTCCAGGACGTACGAAGTGCTGAACTCTGCCTGGGGGTACACATCCGAATGGCCCTACAATTCCCAGCTCCATAAGGTGCACTGTTGGGTTTGATGAGAGGCCTTGCAGGAGTTTCCAGAAAGGTTTATCGCTACGGGTAAGAAGATAAATTAACCTTCTTTCCCTCTAGGAATAAGTGTCTTCGTCCAAAGTGCACTTAGTGCCGCCACATAAATTGCCTCGGCGAATGGGTATTTCATATTGTGGGAACTGTACGTTCTCGCAACTGTATCTGCGGTTCCAGTTAGTTGCAAAAAGTAGCTAAAGAGAAGTCTCAACTTTGCAAATATGTCGTAGCATCAAGGTGTGCTGCAACAAACCCTTTCTGAAATTCAGTCTGGCCATTTTGATCATTTTCATCATCTGGGTATATGGCATCTAAAGACCTTTTCATCCTCAGTCACATGGATGCTGCCATCTTTTGAGTCATGTGACGTTGCCGCCATTGGATTGCTTCGACTCGTCACTCCGCTTTCCCCTCTGCGGCTTGACAATGCATTGCATTGATAATTTCCGTAGCATTTGACCGCGCTTTCTTGCCTTACTCCATAAAGTGTAGTCCGATACTTATATCTAGTTCTACCTAAATGCATTACATCATAATGTGCATAACTACAGCGGATAATTTTTTAACACGATCTGACGATTTCCAGTGTCCGTGTAACGAATGCACGTGGGATGAGGCACAGGAATTGGCGTTAGCACTAAGCCATGTTATGTTCATGACTAAAACAGCACGAGGGCTCAAAGATCAATTACTTATGACAACTCAGGTCTGCCTACTAATAGTGCATTTAGGGTGGAAAATGACAAGAACAGTCAGTGAAGGAGACTATGTGTTTCCTGAAAGCATTGTCCTATGTATTCATAAAAGATGGAAAACAGTTTTTGTAGACTGTGTCAGGGAACTCGTAGGGGAGATAGGGGACAGGCTTCAACTGCTTGTCCCCTCTTCTGCTTTCAATGAAATCCCTATGGTTCACAACTTTCACAGTTACGAAAACACAACCCTCTAGGAAGCACTATGGCCCAAACTGGAAACTGGAACAGTGGCTTTTGTTGTGACCCGAAACACACATTGTCCTGATGAGCCTTGACGAGATAGGTAGCAAGATTCCTTTTGTCAGTGATCGGAGATTTGAAAGCAATCTGGAGCAACATTTTCTCAAGACCATTTACCCTGTGCGCTGTCCCAACTTAATTGTAAAATACCATATTTTCTTCTTTTTGATTTGGCACATCGAAATTTGGAGTTTATCGGTTAAATACAAATTTACTCAAATTTTACCGGTAGGTGTATCTCAGTTTTTTGGATCTATCCAATAACACGGAACTCTACTTGGATCATACCTTGAGTGTGCCGTAAGCAAATGCAAATATAAACATGGTTTATTTCTTTAGACCAATATTGTAAAATGCTGCTAATGTGTACTTAACAGGTTAGATAATTAAATAAATTGCCTACTTGGCATAGGTCGGACCGCCGAGACAATATCACTTGCTTTTAAAAATTCTCTGCGTCATTACACAAGACTTTTTTAGTCTGCAAAGTCACAAAAGTTGAGTGTTCACAAAACCCAAATGGTGAGTACCAAACTTGTGAGCTCATCTGTTCTTCCAGATTCAACTCATTGCTAATAAAGCTGTCAACCTGCTTCTTCACATTCATGTATTAATCTCTTCATTATTTTATTTTTCTGGAAACTAGTGTCATTGGGTACGGCTGCAGACAATGGTAATCTTCCCTGTACATTAGTTCAACCATTTCACCGCGAACCCTAATCGGATGCATCAAGTGTTAGAAAAAAAGCTTGCAATTTTGGCTTGAAACCACTTCATAGCCCTCAAAGTGGCTCAGTAGCACTGTTTCCTTGGTTGCGTGTTACAAGGGTCTCATTTGTATCACAAAATTAAGCAAAATCTACATAGAACAGCTACACAGTCATGCGCTCATTGAAACCGAAACCAACAAAACTGAAGCAACCTGATGGTTGCAAGTGCGTCAGTGCCCTCTATCCACGGGTCAGGCAACCAGGATTCTAGAGCGTGCACCCGTCGGTTGATCACCCTCTGGATTACCTGTGCCACCATGGCAAAATAAGGCAACGCTGGGAAGGCTAAAACCGGAAGCGCTGCCGGTGTACGCTTGTGAGATGACGTTTTTATCACCAACTCCGAGCGTTGTGTTGTCGCACTACAATAACAATTAACTGTATTCAAAATGTATCAAATGCTAAATATATTAATGTGTATGCATGTATGGTTGTGTACATGAGGGAGGGAGAATCAATGGACAAGTTGGCTAGCGCACACCAGCTTGGAGCACAAGCATTGCACATGCTTGCATCAGCGCAGAGGAAGTTGAAGTATCCTCACTCCGGGTTGTGAGAACATTTTAACTGGTGGCGTTACCCAAACTTCTCGCCGTGAATAGCATGTTAATGGCAGCCTACTGGTGACTCACAAAGGACGAAGGAAGGACAACAATGCAGCGTGTGCCCTCTAGACCTTAGCCCGATGCGCCACATAAATCAGATACAGGCGCCATGGCAGCTGGCACGCACTCGGCGCACCAGCTTCTTGATGTGGTCAATTTTATCAAGGGCTTTTACTCAGATACGCATTTCAGAGACCTGTAGTTTGTCACTATCGAAACTGAAACGAATCGAGGAAGAATTGTACGACGAAGGGCACGCAATCCTGTCTGCTATCGACATACAAATGTGATAGTGACAGATGAAATAGCCAATTTTTAGCACCACTGCCATGACCAATGTTATGTGACATGTTTCTCCAAACATGTAACCAGGTTACAGTTGCAGAAATTTTACTGCAGCTTAAGGAAACTCTGGTTATTGAAACTGACTGAACCAACTTAAAACTTTACAGCTGGGTAGGTGAATTTCAGCACTTGCCTCTTTGGCCATCCTGCAATACGGACAGTAGGACTTTGAGAAGATCACCACGGGGTTCTTCTCGATCGTCTCCTGCACAAAGCTTCTGGCAGTCATGCTGACTGCAACTTGGTAGCCTAGAAGCCGCCTTAGTGGCCCGAACAGCTGCGAAGAATGGGGGATGAGTACAAGCAACACAATCGATACGGTTGAATTCCGATGCACTCTCAGAGGAAGCGGCCATCCGGCCGAAAATGATAGCGCCTAGGGTTTCCCGTCAGCGAGGAAATATCGCCATCCCGCACAGCAAATACATGTGCTTTGAACAATTCGAGAAGCATCGTGTACTACGTGCGAATGAATGAAGAGGAGGGCATATCCGGCATATTCCTTACTTCGGTAAACCACATCGTTTTAGTGGTTTTAGACGAAGACCGTCAATGAAAAACCAACGTTGGAATAACTTTGAACTGACCGGTGTGCTAGCTGAACTCCAGTCACAGCGTTCGTAAATTTAAACCGCAGTAAAGCGTATGATAAAATTGCGACCCTTCGCTTACGCCAACAGTAAAAAAACCATACACAGATAAAAAAAAAAGATATCAATAAGTGGGTAAAACGAATTCGTGACTCCTTGAATTAGAGGTTACTTACCGTCACCTAGCGGATTGCGCCAAAAAGCAGAAACTAAAAGCCTTGGTGGTGAATAAATATGACTGAATTCAAAATTACAATCCGTCACACGAACTTTTAGAAGTATTGTCACTAACAGTGACGCGGGTCACCGCCCGATTAAAAATATTTAACCGCGTGTGATTCTTCCGATCGAGAAAAGTAAACCCGCATAAATTAACTACGCTGCGCAGAAAGCTGAAAGTTCGACAGAGTGTGACGTAAGAAATATAAGCCAGAATTAGAAAGTTTGAGACGTTTGAGAGCATAAACTTGCGTGACTGTCTCTACGAGCAGACCAAGAGCCCCAAGAGCAGACGACGAACCTGGAGAGTGAGTGGAACAATCGCGTCTTTGCGTCGCAACGCATAGATGGCGCCACCGCTTCGTCAATGTGTTTTGGTTTGGTTTTGGCGGCAAAACGGAATCGTTGTTCAATACTTTGTAATGTTTTACTTACACACTGCTTTTTATTTCAACGAAAACAAATAAAATAAAATGTATATTGTGATGCTGACGTGCATTTGCTCATATATAACATCTGTCAAAATAATTATTCCAGCAGACGTCGTCTGCTTTGCTTGCTCTTCTGACTTTCGGACACCGGCCCACCCGTGGGCCGTCGGTCGCTTTTATCTTCCGTCCTGTTTCGCTGGACATCTGTACCTTGAGATGAGGCAACTGACTCAAAAGCAACACTCGGATGTCGTGCTGTGGCACTTAGAGGACACAAACTTCAAGAAGGTTTGCAGACGATACCGACGCGAGCAGCGCAACCGGCCACCGGGGAGGTCGGTAGCATCGCCAACAAGAATCACGTTTTCGCCAACACGTGATCCTGGGAGCGCTCGAAGCTGACCCGTATCTATCGACAAAAAGAGCGGCACATTTGTATGGCGGCTCCAACTCTACTGTGAGTCGGATTCTTCACCAGAACAACATGCGAGCCTACAAGGTGCACGTTCTGCATGAGCTGAAGCATCAATGAGCGAGGGCTGGTCTTCTGCCACGAAGCGATTCTTCGGGTACATCCCCTCCCATCTGGACTTCATTCTCTTTACAGACGAGGCAATGTTTCCCCTTGACGGAGAGGTCAACTCACAGAACCGCCGTCACTGGAGCATCAGCAACCCGCACTGGACACTCGAGAAGGCAGGCGCGGATGCAAGGGGGGGGGGGGGGGGGGGGGGGGGGGGGGCGACAGAGGCGGCCGCCCTCCCACCCACCCTCCCCCCCAAACCAAGTCGACCCCCCCCCCCCCCCCCTCCCCCTTTCTCGGAGGGCAATTTGACATGGGTGGACCACCCAGTGGACACGAAAGAATGCGAGAATATCATCTTTACAAACTGCCGTCCCCGCTCCTCTGGTTCTCCGTTCGTCCGCGAGAGGGCGAGCGGCGGGCTGAAGTAATTGAAAACCCAACGAAGTCAGGAGAGGCACCCAGGGTTAAAAAGAGGAGAAAACGTAAGAACAGGTTTAAAAAAACAGCACAATCAGACATTGGATATATTAACATGCAGGGTGGTAGAAATAGGTTAAAATGGGAAGAGGTAGAGGAGCAACTAAGAAAGGAGGATTTAATGGTGTATGGGTTTGTGGAAACACATCTCAGAGACATGGAGCAGCCACCTTGCAACCCTGACTATGTGTGGGAAGATTGCAACAGAATGGAGGGAACGAGGAAGGGGGGTGGTATTGGAGCATTTATTAAGAAGAATATGAACTTTCAAAGGATCAGAAAGGAGTGCGCCGAACATTTGTGGCTGAAAGGAAAAGTCGCTGGGGAATCAACAGTCCTTGGTGTTGTTTACTTATGGACAGGGACAGGTGCTAAAGAGGAAAACAGAAAAATGATTGATTGCATATCAAGAGACATTAGTGAACTAGGGGAAGGCTCCGAAATAATTATTATGGGAGACATGAATGCCCATATTGAGGGTCTGGATGGGTATACGGACTCAACTGGAAGCATATTACTAGAACTGGTGGAAAAACATGACTTAGTTTTATGTAATACCAGTCAGAAGTGTGACGGGCACATAACTTGGGAAACTGGCAATCTGCATTCAACTATAGATTACGTACTCATGTCACACAAAACATATGGTAAGTTACAAGTAATGAAAATAGATGAAGAAGGTTCCAAAAGTCTTGGTAGTGATCACAAACGTATTAAGCTGAATTTTGCCAGAGAAGTAAATGCTGAAACTAGACAACATAATTCAAAGCAAACTTTCTGCAGCGACAAAGAGTTGGAAATAGTTGTTGAAAGAATAGAGGCAGCAGTTTCAGGGCAACGGTATACAGATTGGACCTATGAGAGCCTAACTAGGCTTTTTGCTCTAGAGCTAGACAAAGTTAAGAGTAAACGAAAGGGGAAGCAAGGACATAGACCAAAAAGCTGGTGGGACAAAGAAGTGAAGCAAGCGATACAAAAACGTCAGGAAGCCTCTAGAGAACACAGGTATTCCAAGCGTAGTGGGGAGTCCGAAACGGAAGTAAAAAGAAAATGGGACAATTTTATAACATGTCGCCGAGAGGCATCCAGTTTGATCAATGCGAAAATTCAGAGAAAGGGTGAGGAATGGATGAGTAATGTAAGTAAGAAAGATAGAAACGCTGCCAAGAAGTTTTGGTAGCACTTGAACTCACTCGGTGAAACAACGCAAGCTAGACAGAGGTTCATACCCTCGCATCAGGGAGATCAATTAGAGGGAGATGATGCGATACAATATATAGGAGCAGTGATGGAGGAGAAATTTCGGGAACGGGTACATGTGGAAGATATGAGAACCGAAGGAAGTAGCAGTCCAGTTTGTGACATCGCGGATTTTGGACAAAGAGAATGGGAAAAGGTGGAACGAAGAGTCCCTGGCACGTCGACAGGCACAGATGGTATCCCTGTCAAGCTGGTGAAGAATTTGGGTCCTAAATCTAAGGCAAAACTAAGGGAGGTAGTGAGTACCATGATAACAAAAGGAAATATTCCAGATGTATGGAGGCTTAGTAGGATGAGCATGATATATAAAGGAAAGGGAGATAAGTCTGATATTAGGAATTATCGTCCTATAACCGTGACACCGGTTATTTACAGGTTGGTAATGCAGATTATAAAGAACAGACTGGAGGAATGGGTACATTGCGAGGGCATACTGGGCGAGTTACAGAACGGGTTTCGGAAACAAAGAAGGTTGGAGGACAATTTATTTTCTCTAACACAGTGTATAGAAATAGCGAAAAAAGAAAACAGACAGCTCTGGCTGGCATTTCTGGATATCAAGGGTGCCTATGACAATGTGAACCAAAGAAACCTGTGGGACATAATGGAGAACTTAAACCTAGATGAAGGACTAACAGCACTGTTAAGGAACATTTACAAAGATAACAAGGTGATTATAACATGGGAAGGCAAGGCGACAGGGAAAATAGAGATAAGACGAGGCCTTAGGCAGGGGTGCCCGTTATCGCCTTTGCTGTTTATGTTGTATCTGAGAGGATTGGAAGATAGACTAGAGAAGTGTGGGCTTGGATTCAACCTTTGTTACAGTAAGCTAGGCCAAAAAATTCAGCAATCCTTGCCCGGATTGATGTATGCGGATGATATTGTACTAATGGCTAACAACAGGACAGAGTTGCAGGAGTTAAAGAGCATCTGTGGTAGGGAAGGAGAGGAATTAGGCTCAGAATTCAGTAGCGAAAAATCAGCAGTCATGATTTTTAACAATGATGAAGTTGAGAGGCTGAAGATACAGAATATTACAGTTGAGAGAGCTAGTAAATACAAGTATCTAGGAGTATGGATATGTGATGGTGCAGAATATCTCAGAGAGCATGAAAAGTATATAATAGGTAAGGGCAACAGAAATGCAGCTGTAATGAAAAGTAGAGCACTTTGGAATTACAACAGGTACGAGGTGGTGAGAGAGATTCGGAAAGGGGTCATGGTGCCTGTTTTGACTTTTGGAAACGCAGTGCTATGCATGAAATCCAAAGTGCATGCGAGGCTAGAAATAAAACAGCGCGGAGTAGGTAGACTGGCTTTGGGGGCACATTGCAAAACGCCAAACCAGGGAGTACAAGGAGACATGGGATGGGCATCATTTGAGAGCAGGGAAGCGGTGAGCAAGATAGAATTTGAGGATAGGTTGAGGCAAATGGATGGGGAGCAATGGGCACGAAGGGTTTTCAGCTATTTATAGACGAACACGCGTCCCTGATGTCACGCAGCTGCGGTGGCGCTGTCGACGGCACTGCGCATGTGCGGACGCTTCACTTCACGCGAATTCCGTTTCTGCGCACGCGCAGTGCCCACACCTGGTGTGGGCAAACGCAGGCTTGTTTGTAAACAGCGTGTCGGTCTATACATGAGGAGTGTAGACACAAAGTGGAGACAGCGCACTAGGAAATTAAGAGGAAAGTTTTTGGGTTATAGCGAAGATACGGAAGAGCAAGTCTCAGTTAAGAAGAAAGTTAAGGCCACAGAAAGAGATCGGTGGCTAGAGGGAATGCAGACAAAGACGGCTCTGGAAAGCTATAGATTAAACAAAAAAGTTATTGCCAAAGAAAGCATTTATGACAATTCTAGGGGAAGCTCATTGCTGTTTGAGGCGAGGACGGGTGTTCTGCGAACCAGAACATACATAGTGAAGTACCAGGAAATTGATACAGTGTGCACTGCTTGTGGAGAGGAGGACGAGACGGCTGAGCACTTGATACTCTACTGTAAAGGGCTTCACCCTATGCCTACCGAAGACAACATAGATTTAATAAAGTCACTGGGTTTTAGAGACAGCGAAGGGAGAGTGGATTTCAAGACTGTAGAGATTACCAATTAAGTGAATGGTGGCTGAAATCGAGAGAAAACTAAGTATTTTCTTATTCACTGATGGCAAGGGGGTTTCATAGCCTCACTTTCTTTGCACTGCGGAGTGAATATAGATTTCACATTTAAATATTCTAAGCTTAAATGGTAAAACAAAATGGCTAGGTGGCGTAAGCTACCGCCCGATCCAAAGGGCTCAGCCGTATTCATCCATCCATCCATCCATCCATCCATCGGAAAGAATCTTCGTCATACTCTTTCCATCCTCTTTTCACCGCGCGAAACATCCCATACCCCAGGACCCCAGGCGGGCCCCCCTGGGCCCCCCAAGCCCCTAAGGCGTCGCACCCTCGCGGTGTTTTGGGAATTTGGACTAAAGAACCATGGCCTCCGAGATCCCGAAGCGCGCGCGGAATCTCGGAGGGCA